CCCGAGAATTATACAAAAACAGCGCAATGCAATATCGCAACGGTTTCGACTTCTCTTTACTCTACCAAGTTATAGAAACTGGAGTCTCTCTAATACTGTTCTAGTCAATATTTCTGAGAGTATAAAAAGAGGGTGTAATATTGCAAGAAGTTTTGATCTTTTGATGGATGAATTTTCTCATTTCTCCATATGATATTGTTGAAAATAGTTCCTTTCTTTGGTTCCTTTGTCTGATTTTTATTTACCGTAACAACTCAGGTATGTAAAGCACAGAGGATATGATGTTAAGTATATTTATGTATTATATAAAGTACCTATATTTGTAGGTATTAAAAATTTAAGAGGTTATGTTGAAAAATGATCGATATGCTATTAAACTTTAATAATTTAGTAATTAGGTCTGTTGGTAGACCCTGCACTATCTCCACTGGTATATGTTAGTTTTGTAATATTTAAATCTGGTTGATGAAAAAGTACACACCAGTGCAGGTTATTGTAGCATCTACGAACAAATGAATTAATGGCCCATTGGCAATTATTCCTTTAGGAAAAATATTCAACACAGCTTAATTAATTAATAAAATGAAAAAAATCACAATCATGTCGTATATAGTTTTTTTAAGCATAAAATAATTTTTATATTAATACTAGTTCAAAAGTGAAATTACGACCTCTATACTGTGGAGAGTATTGAAACGCTCGACTGACGAATACAACTCTATACCGTAGGGAGATTTAGAAATCGATATTCAAACGTGGCGTCATCCTATACACCTCTATAATTTTCCGTTTGCTGTGTAGCAATGATAAACGTCATAGACCAAAAATGCGAATTAAATAATATTGTTCAAAATTATAAGCAAATTATAAGCAAAAAACGAGGAGTTGTTTATCATTACTAGCAAATTTACAATTTTTAAAAGTCTACATACCTAGTTATAGCAGAAAATCGGTAACAATCACAAAAACTATAACTATATTATAATATATTTCACAAACGGTTTAACAGAAGTATCTCGAAGGGCGAGCAAAAACTCTCTGTGTCTATGATATTTCCTAATCTCGCTTTTAAACTCTATGCCACTTAAGCAAGAATGTGTTACATAAACAAGTCTTCATAATATTTCTACGTTCAGATACAAAGAAGTGGAATTTTAAGACTCAATAGTTTTTTAAAACATAAAATAACTTATAACTATAATATTATTTTTTCGTGGATTATTCAAAATTTCCTTGGTTAAAATAGCGCCAAATTTGAATTTAGAAGTTTATATACTACAGGACCCTTACACATTCCTTGTTGTATGCTTGGTAAAGTTCTTTTTTTAATTCAGGTAGTATTTCTGTCATCTCTGGTTGAAAGTTTAAAGGGACATTAAGGTTTACCCCAATATTTGCTAGTTGGTCTGCAACCACATTTCCGTGGATTTCGTCGTGTCCTGGTACCCATGCTAATATAAAGTCAAAATCGTTTTCTGTGGCTATTGTGATAAACCTTTTAGTGGCAATCGATATATATTGGTCTTTTGATGAGTATTTATTGTTTATTAGTTTTTCAAGGGCACTAGCAGAGTCTGTTAAAATTAGGTTACGTTTGATATTTTTAGAGATTGCAATTTCTACACCCTTACAAATTGCGGCCATTTCTGCTGTGCTTATCTGGAGATGGTCTGGGAGTCTTGCCGAAAATCGAATATCGTTCTCAGTCATATAGATTCCTATACCCGTTTTATGTTTAATTTTTGATACTAAGTACTTCCCTTAGTTAAATTATTTACAATTTGAGCACAACCTAAAATTTGAAAGAAATGCAGATTTAGTTTCAGTACAAAAATGACATAACCAACAATTAATAAAAACGCCAAATTGACAATTTTCATTGTTAATTTTATCATTTTTGTAATTAAGCTAAATTTAAACAATGTTTGTCAACTTTTTTGACAGAATTTGGAAACGCTGTTGTTACCAACCAGGGTTACCAACCATAACTTAATAAATTAAATTAGGCAACCAGATTACCCTAAAGTTCCTAGTCGATCAGTGGCGTACTTTTTGGTAGGATAAAGGTTAAGTATTATAAATTATTTTTAGTCTTTGGAATTTAGAAAAAAAAAGTTTCAGCTGCTTCTTTATGGACCCTAATGAACAACCCATTTTAATATATAACATTAATTACATAACACCCTGTAGATCACTTGGTACCCTACATATCGACCCACCGCAATCTTATAGATCACTTGGTACCCTACATATCGACCCACCGCAATCTTATAGATCACTTGGTACCCTACATATCGACCCACCGCAATCTTATAGATCACTTGGTACTCTACATATCGACCCACCGCAATCTTATAGATCACTTGGTACTCTACATATCGACCCTCAGCAAATTCATGAGTGCACTGTTCATCGTAAAATAGTCGCATTAATCCTTGTTCGCGGTAACATGATATAGCAAATCTCCTTTTATTTCGTACTGGTTCCGATCAAGTTTGCCTTCCTTAAGGTCTCAATGATCTTTTGAACTTCTGCGCTTCCTTTCTGCTCGATATTCAACCAATATCAGTACGCAGTGTCGACGCTCTCGCAATTTTTGCAGGGTTTCGGCTAAGGAAATCAACTTCGTAAATGTATTCCTGCAGATACGTTCACCAGCGCGCCACACGCGGCACTAAGTCCTTCTTATTCACGGTTGCTTTTATAGCGTTGCAATCTGTCACAATTGTAAACTTGATTCCGACAAGGTATACTCGAGCATTCACAATTGAGTTTCTAGCTCGTACGAATGATACCGCGATTCGGCGTCAGTTGTGCGTTTGCTAAAGTAACTTATTACCCGATTCTGGTCATCATGTGTCTGCATTAGTATCGCTCCATATCCGATCGAACTTGCATCTGTATGGAGTTCTGTTGGAAGATTTGGGTTGAACACCACTAGTAACGGTTCGCTGGTTAAACATGATACAATGAAATCCCTGGCCTCTTTGTGTTCATCCTTCCATTCAAACGGCATGTTGGCTTTGGTTAATTTCGTAATACATGCAGCAAAACTCGGAATAAATTTACGAAAGTATCCGGCTAGACACATAAATTGGCGTACTTGTTTGACGTTGGTCGGTGTCTCGAAATTTACAAGTGCCTCCACTTTACGTTTACCTGGTTATATGCCTGCCTGTGAAGTCCGGAATCCGGACGCCATGTCTGACGATGTAAAATAGCTTCCACCGCCCAACCTATCCAGTTGATCATCAATTCGTGGTAACGGGAATTTTTCCTTGATGGTGTACGCATTTAATTCTCGAAAATCAACAACCATTAGGTAACTGTCATCCTTATTTTTCACAAGTAACACCGGACTGGAATATGCGGATTGGCTTTCTCTGATAAATCCATTTTGATCAATTGATCAGTTATTTTGCGTATTTCGTTCTGTTCAGATGAAGACAATCGGTATGTCTACGATGTGGTGATCCGTCAAGTGAATTTCCATGGAAGCATTATTCATACTCCCCACCACAACAGTACCTTTTGACAGAAACGACGAGAAATGTTCCAATACTTTTACAATGGCCGCACGATTTTCGTCTGGAACAACGATTGTAGAGCGCAAGTCTGGATTATGATCCTCAATTGTTGCCGCTAGGACTGTTGGTAGCAACAATTGTAGATCGGATCACTCAAACTCCGTTTTTATGCTTTCTACCTGTTGGCACCAATTTTCGGCATTGTCTGTTTTATGATGAAAAAACGGCAAATCCACCTGCTCTGGCGTTGGCTTGGATTTCGACAATTTTGTCAACACGTCCGTTAGTAACTGCTCCATATGGCACAGGCACAATTCCACTTCTTATAATAACACTTTGTTTGGTTTTTAAACACTTTATTTGATTTAAATTAATTTAACAACAAAAACAGCTTCTCAGCGCAAGCGTTCGATAAATACTGAAAATCCAACGATTGCAAGCGGTCCTTGTAATATCTCAAAAACAATTGAATCATTCGTAAATGCGCAAGGTGTATGTATCTTGTAAATGCGTGAAGCATCCGTCGCGCTCGCTTTTCCTGACACATGAAATTCACGACCTGCTAACAATATTATATTATTTCACACGGTCCTAGAGGCACCCAACCGAGAGCCTCCACTAGCACTAGTTACGGCTACAACTAGAGCCATTGCCATGACTTAATAATATCATGTACAGTGGCGGACACGGAATTTTGAAGGTCATAATTTGAATGTCTATGAATCTGTAAATAGCAATTATACAATATTGACCATTTTTTCTTTAGGTGTCAAAATGACAAGACCGGAAGTAAGGTTAGTTGTTAATAAGGGAAGTTTAGATTTTGATGTCAACGGAATGATAGTCGCCACTGTACCTACGCTTATTTTGCAGGCGTTTAGAGGTCCATAATGCCCCTATAATGCCTCTTCCTAAACAAAAACTTTTATCATTATTTGTATTAGACTTTTTGGTCCTAGACTGGGGGCCCGGAGCTGAAGCAGAAATTTGTTTTAACACTACTAGATCTAGTCTCTATAGAGGGTACTTCATTTAAATTTTTAAACCCTTATTAATCCTGTTAAATAAAAATTTGGAACCATCTTAAAAAAAGTTCAAAAAAGCCTAACTCGGACAATTTTTAAGGTAGGAGAATGAATTTGATCTTTAAACGTTTAGAATTTAGTTTAAATTTTGTTTTTCCGACTAGAGGTCCCTTTTTTCTCTCCTTATCATATATATAGATATAGTGAAAATTACAAAACGTTAGGTTTCGGCACCAAAACGTATAACCAAGGTTCCAAAAATGTCAGGATTAGCCATTTTTTTCTGCCTATTAATTAGGAAATATAATTTTCTAAATCATATTTAGGTTAGTTTAAAAAGATTAGGCTAAATGATTCTGAAAAAAATAAAATCCATTTAGGAGACATGGCCAATTAAAAATGGCGGTACATATTTTTTTTCATTAGTTTAAATGACAAATGTTTTTAGATGTAACTATTGAAAATCTAAACGCTAAAACAAAAGAAAATACAGAAAAAGCATATTTATTTCAAATGAGAGTTAAAGATTTAGAAAAAAATATCAGTGAAACAGAGGAAAACTTATCTTCTGCAAAAAGCATAACACCTACAGAGGTTAATGATAATTTACATGCAAATGAAATTACTGTAAGTTTTTTAATTTATTTATAAATATTTTTACAAATAATATTTATTTTTTAAAGGAATTGCTGCAAAAATGTGCTACTAAATTAGAAAAACACTTACGAGAAATACCCTTAGAAGAAAAGAGTGTTATAATGCCACCCAAATCAACAATTAAGAAAAACCATTTAAAAACGCCTGGATTTAATTCATTTGAAACATTTTTATGTAAAAGCGAACGAAAATTTACAGAAAATAAAGTAACAATCATAAAAAGAAATGTGCCCTATGACAATGAGGATAAAACAATAAAAAAAGTTAACAAGGCATTATTTACAGATTCATTTAGTGAAATTAAAGAAAATATTCCAATTTTGAAAGTAAATGATTTCGATTTGGTTGAAAGAACACCAGAAAAAAACGTTAGAGGAAAAAGAGAATCCCTAGGGATTTTACCCGATGATTTTCTTAATTTTAGTGATGATTTGAATGATACCATAGCACCTCTATCAATTATAATGGAGCAATCTCATTTATCCAAACAACTTTCTGATCGTTCACATTTTGTTAGTAAAATCAAGTCTAATGATGGTAAAAATGAAAATAAAATAAGCATAAATCAGTCTGGTTATTCAGTAGCAAAAAATGATTTATTATTAAAGAATATTATAAATAACTATGAAGTAGCAAATTCTTTAAAGGAAGGCTTGCATAAATATGATAGGAGGTTATTGTGGAGTATTTTTTGTAACCTAAATGAGAATCTTATTACTGAATTACAAAAATGTATAATAAGTTGCAATGATTATAAAAGGTAATTTTCTAATGTAAGAAAAATAATAATTCAATTTAATTTAATTTTTTGTTAGAAATACTATAAATAATAGGATTGATATGGCACAATTATATTTTATACATGTTTACATTGGGATACACACAGATAAAGTCAAAAAATCTATAAATGAAATCAGTAAAAATATTAAAAATGAAAGACGAAAAATTAATGTAAGTTTAAAAAGTTCACTTTGTATACAAAAATATCAGATATTTTTAGGAGCATCTCAGTTCAAAAAGAGTTGCTTTGGAAAAAAACTATGAACTGAATAGAGTTCTAGACTTGGAAATTAAAAATGTAGGTTTAGATGCAACCTTATCAACAATGAAACAAGAACTAAATAAATCCAAACATATTGTGTACAGTAGTTTGCTGCAGAGTATTGATAAAATATCAGATTTAAACAATATTTTTAATATAGAACCTAAACAAATTGGATTGGATTCTGAAACAACCAAGAATAGTTTGACCACAACAAATAATGAGTACAATTACGAAATACTAATCGTAAATAAAAAAATATTGTCTGTTAATGAACATATTGTAAGTAACCAGTAAGTATAATATACATATATTTTAAATTATACCTTTTAGATGACAAAACTAAATGGAATACAAGATTTCTTGGGACATATTGATAAAGTGTTTAATAACATTAAAGATATTAAAGAAAATACAAACACAAATGTACACAAACTAAGCAACTTTATTGTGGACATGTCCTGGGCTGAAACATTGTCTATGAACCTTATTTCTGAAGAAGTAAACGCCTTTGAAAAATTTCCTTTGGCTTATAACAAACAATTTAAATACATGTACAAACTGTAATGTTTTTTAATATGTGTGTATTTGTTTAATAACGCAATATTTTTTAGAAATGGCACAGCTAATTTCAGAGACATTTCTTATCAGAATATTCCAAGCCACATTTCACTAAATTCTGATGTTCTATATATCGTTTCAAATATTTTAGAAACCCCATATAGCCCACCTGAAACTATTTTAGTAAATATTTTGAAATCAAAACTTAAATTGCAAGCTCTAAAGTCTATTAACACTGAAAACCATTTCCCAAAATACACTGAATGTAAGTGGATTTTATACTTATAATCAGAGCTGGCTTTACTTTTACTTGTATTTCAGTTAAGTAAAAAAGTACGAGTACCTTTTTACTTATTTATTTTATTTTGAAGCTCAATAATAAAATATTAGTTAGTGACTTCTTGCAGGGATCCCTATATATCGATATGACGATATAAGAGTATTTCCGTTTATTATATCGATGACTTTTTGCCAAAATATCGCAAGCATCGAAACATTTTGTTTTAAATTATATAATATAACATATAGGCTATATAAAGTTTAAAACAAACTTCAAAACAAGAATTAATTTCAATTCTCAAAACTTGAGTTATGGTTTTTGCGATACTTTGGAAAAAAGTCATATAATGTATCGCCCAAATTTCTTAGTCCAATTACCGCGTAACCGTAACCTTTCTTTACAAATGGACTTCCTAGTAAATATTTTAAGTACTCGTGCTTGAAATATAACGAATACTTTTGAAGTTCTCGTGCCCAGCTCTGCTTATAATTATAATAATAATAATAATTAGTTACTATAATTTACATTTTAAATATTTTTTTGTAGATTCCAAGAATGATTTAAAACATCAAGATTCTGAAAATGAAGCTGCTTTACTTAGCAAATTAAATCATTTATGTAATTCATCAAGAATAATCAAAATAAATTCTGCATATGCAACGATACAGCAGATCATTGAAATATGGACTAAAATGCCATTAAAGAACTTTATCCTACCTTCTACCCTTGTTGATGGAAAAAAATACAAATATTATGAACAAAAATTTATAAACTCTCTTGCTGTTTAATATTTATTACTGTGATACATTAATTAAACTAATTAAAAATATACAGGTATGTTTTATTTATTTGTCCTAATAGTAAAGTCAATCTGTAGGAAATAAGAGATTACATCGAAAAAATTCCGAAAGGGCTGGATTTTGGTGGTCTGATGGGTAAAATGTCAAACTCCTGCGCTCCCACCTCCATTGTTTCCTCCCCTTTTTAAAGTTTTGAATCTTTAAAGGAAAAACTTTTTGTATTTAGTTCTTAAAAAGATAGAGGGCGCCGCCAAAGTTAACAAACAATTTTTTATATTTTGATATTAACACTTTTTGGATCTACAACGTTATTTTTAGCATTTTTTCATAAAAAACATTTTTACTATTCTTGGAACCATCGTCACCATTGTCAGTACCCAACATTAATCCGCTGTAATTCAAAAAAGGTGGACAAAATTATATTAAAACTTTTTATTTAAGAGGAATTGATGGAAAATCTTACGATTAAATTTTAAAATAGTAAGACAGATAATATTTATATCATTGCCTTGAATATGTGTATTGATATAATCAGAGCTGTTGTAAGTACCAAGAAAAAGTACTTAAGTATTAAGTACAAGTTTTTTTTTAAATACGAATCAAGTACAAGTATAAGTAAAGAAGGAAATACTTTAAACATCAACTAAATTTTCTTGAATTATCCTAATTTAAGCACAAGTACCATATTTCACGAAAATTAGATTCAAGTTTATGTATTAATATAAGTATTAAACTAAATTTAGTTAAACTTGCGAACTTGAAATGACATTTAAGTACAAATACTTTAAAACATAATTTAAGTATTTTTTATTTTAAGTAATGTTCGGATTAAACTAACAAATTAAATTATTGCTATTAGGGATGCACCGGATCGGGTATTTTGCCGATCCGGCCGGAACCGGAATTTCGGCCGCTGGCCGGACCGGATCGCCGGAATTCCGGCCGGATCGGGACCTAAATTCAAAATGTATGTCCATGCCTATTTTTATACGTAAAACATTGAAAATATTGAGGCTGATTTATTTTTACTTTTTTTAAACTAGCTATAGCTGTATACAGTATGCAGAGTGTTTATTACTATTTATTACTGTTTATTACTATTAATTTTACCTAGATAGAAATTACTGTTTATTTAAATATTAATTTTTAATTAGCGTTAACAAAATTAAAACAATTCTACTCATTTAATTGGAGAATAGCAGCCACCTGCCAATAATAAAAAAAAATTAAAAAGAAGTCGGGGAACCACAGCCGCCGGTCTATCATAGGCAAGGAAACACGCACACCCTTCACTGTTGACCAATTACAAAATATATCTAGTCGAAAGTCGGGGCATCCCAGACGCGAAAGTCGGGGAATCACAGACGCGAAAGTCGGGAAATCCCAGACGTCTGCTAATCATAAGCAAAGGCACAGGGCTGCAGGTCATTTCATTATTCATTTGCTCACAGAAAATCCCTATTTGCATTTTGTATTTATGTCTGCTGGTGTTCACGACTACCGTTCCGGCCGGATTTAGTGCTACCGCCGGAATTCCGGTGCATCCCTAATTGCTATGTGCTATAAAAACAATTTTAATTCTCCACGTGAGATTGGTTGAGATAAATGTACACCTTTCTATGAATACCGCTGTACTTGTTAGTTTATAACACTTCTACTTACTACTACTCCTAAACCAGGCTACTACTTACCGAAACCGTGATGATTTTTGCTGGACACAGGGATTGGATTTGGAATTGGAAAACGACAGCTTGGCTGCACAGAGATGAGTGATTTGAGCCGGCTAGCTTAGGCCTATTTTCACGAATTACCATTTTGTTTTTCAAGTAAATTGTACTAAGTATTTAGAAATACTTCAACTAAAAATATTTACTTCAAGTATTTTACAAATTTTTGAATGTTTTGAAGTAAAATATACTTGAATAATATTTTAAGTATTAAGTAAAATTTGAAAAACATAAAATTACAAGTACAAGTGCCAACGTTTGTATTTGTACTTAAGTCAAATACTTGAAGTATCTTTTGTACTTAAGTATTTAAAATACTCAGAACAACAGCTCTGGTTATAATACTTTTTGCCTTTTACTATTTTAAAATGCAACTTTTTTATTTAGCAATTAAAACTAAATTTTTTATCAATTTTAGAGGGTATTTCTTGTTAAATTTGGTGCAATAGAGTTATCTTTTTGGGAACTATTTATAAATACAAGTTTTGCCCACTCACCCATCCCTTGTCTATGGTTTTTTCATTGTGTTCTGTCGTTTTTTCTGTAAAGAAATATGGTAAAAATTTCAAGCCCTACATTTTTTGTCTTAACTTTTCGTCCAACCTATAGGAAACAAGATAAACACTTAATTTTTTTCTTTCAAAAAGGCGGTAAAGCTCCAGCCTTATGGGGTAACATGGGAATTTGGCATTTTGCCATTTAGACCAGCAGGAATACTGTATCCAAAATTCAGCCAGTTCAGAATTTTTTCTAGGTCAAAATACAGATTGATTGTTACAATCCACAATTGATTGTGGACTGTACTGTCAAACATTAATTATTTATAAAAAATTTATTTATATGAAGTTTTATTATAATAAGTACTATAATTACAACTAATGTCTCTTGCTCTTCTTTTTGGATTTCTTAGCTCCTTTTACAAAACACCAATCAACTCCAATAGTTTGCCCCAGTAATGATGACCCATTCAATGCTTCTCTAGCTGAACTAGCATCTTCATAAGTTCCATACTCAATTAAAGCATATCCTTTCAAAAAACCTGTTCTTCTGTCCAAGTTGATACTAATATTCTTAATATTACCAAACTCGGAGAACTTCTCACTTAAATCATCCTCAGTGGCTTCTTCATGTACAGAAGTAACAAATAAGATCCAACCTTCGACTGATTTTTGTGGTCCTGGTTCGTCTCCATGGTCCCCCATTTCCACTGACTCGTAGTCCCTGATTTTTTCATGTTCGCGGGACTCTCCAGCTCCAAAACCTCTTCCTTTGCGTTTCAATACCTTGTCTTTTAGTCTCAAAACACTTTGCTCGCCTTCGTCTTCCACGTCTATGTCGACGGCGTCGTTAATATCCAAAACATCAGCCATAACTTCTATTTTTCAAACTGTTTCGGATAAATAACTAATTTAACCTCTACAAAAACAAGCACGTAGCCAAATAACTGTAAACAAGAATGTTACTAAATATGTCACCAAAATAGATCAAATGTACAGAGACCAAGGATAAATTTGAACTACCAAAATCAATAAAAAACTAAAAAGCCTATTTTATAGGTATTTTTACATTTTTTTATGTAAATTTAGAAAAATAATTTAATAAATATTCCCATAAAACGTATTTATTATTAAATATAATAAAAAAAAAGTGATATGTTGATCAACATAACCTTAGTTATTCTTCTTTCGTTTTCTTAACGTTATAAAAGGAAACATAAAAATGAGTGAAAATAATGAAAACTTAATGGATGTGGAAAATAATAGTGAAAATTCCAGTTCAGATAGTGAAAATGACGATGAAGAAACAGAAAAAGTATTAGGATATATTTAAAATATATATATATCATAAGAAACATTTTATGTTCTAGATTAAAATGGCAAAAGCTGAACAGTTGGAAAGAACAATATCGAGTAACAAATATGATTACGATGCCCATATAGAGTTGGTACAGTTATACAGGCAGCTAACAGATTTTAAGTCTATGAGTGAGGCTTATGAAAGATTCCATGAATGCTTTCCGTTAACTCCCAAATTATGGCTTGCATGGATTAATGATGAAATTTCAGTAGCCACTTCAGAACAAAAAGAACATATATTTGAACTTTTTGATAAAGCAGTGGAAGATTATCTTTGTAAGATTATTTTTTTATTATGGTAATGAACAAAAAAAATAATTTATTTTGTGTGATCCTTAAAAAAGTTCCCCAAATAATTTGGTTCAAATTTGGATAGTGGTTTTTATTAGAATTTATATTTAAAAAAACATTGATAATTTTAAAAATCATTTAGTTTTGGGAGTGTATATTGGTCTGGCCGTTCGGACGAATTGTAATTGACACTATTTGTCCGGTCACTATTTGCGCTGACGGCCGGACGAATATTGCGGAGACTATTTGTCCGGGTGAACGTTCAAACATTTCCGTCGTAAATGGAGGTTGGTGTTTTTTTGTGCAAGTGCTTCAGTCAATATAAAATATGAGTACCTACCTATAATAAATTATTAACATATTATGATGTATGACTAGACTAACAGTTTCTTATTTTCATAAAATTCAGACAAAACGGGATCAAATAAAGACTAAGTAAATATTTTTTAGTGTGTAAGTAGGTATACGAAATTGCTCTATCAAATACTTTTTTGGTGGTGTGTCTTTTACATAAATATAATGAAAGTAGGTACTCATATGAATATAATAATTTTAGCTTTTGCTTCAGTTTATTGCATAGGTTCTTGGATATTTAGCTATCAGAAGGCATTGAAAACAATTGTTTTCAATGCCTTCTGATAGCTAAATATCCAAGAACCTATGCAATAAACTGAAGCAAAAGCTAAAATTATTATATTCATATGAGTACCTACTTTCATTATATTTATGTAAAAGACACACCACCAAAAAAATAATAAGATGCAGAACTCCCAAAATTTTCTTATTACTTGACTATTTTTTTAATTATTTAATATTTAAGTGCGACAGTGTATAAATATTTCAAACGCAAGGCTGCATAAAAAGTTTTTATTATAAACATTTGCCGTGTCGCCGTACTTGGCCACTACAGTCATCCAAACGACCGGTAAAGGTCTCTAACGCTTAACGCTTACAATACAACAAAACTTTCGAGTTCTGGCTCCCATTTCAATACCGTAATTTTGCTCCGCGCCGCTCTTGGCCCTGGGTTAAGATAGCGAAATTTTATCCAAATCGGAGCTGCACCAACATACAGTTCCTACTTCCAGGTCGTTTGTTTTTCGCTTCGCGTTCACGTTTGTTATTTTAACTAGAAGACTGTTAATTCTGTGTATTTTTGTGTTTTGTGTTTGTTGTTGTATTCTTTTGTAAGAATGAATGTGGTGTATGATTTAATTATGATTTAATTAATTATCTGTAGGTAGGTACCATTTAATTAAATGCCAACTGCGCCACATTTTTTTAAACCCCACTGGCAGAACTCACAAATTTGACTGCCACGAGCCGCCACTGGAACTGGACATGCTCTCCTAAACGATAAAAAGCACCTTTTTAAGTTAACAGACAACCCAAACTGTCCAACTTGTGGGACACCCGAAACGGTAGAACATGCCAAAAAAACTAAGATGAAAGAGAGAAAACAGAAAGAAAAACTGGAAGCACCATCATTGAAATGCTAAAAGATATAGAAAACAATTATATAAAAATGAAAAACTTTTTACAGACAGTCCCTGAGCTCTAAAGAAGGTTTTATTGGGTTGCATAGCCATGGGCTAAAACCTTGTACATATTTTAATATATATTTATTGTAAATATGTACTGAATTGAATAAATAATAATAATTATATTTATATGAGTCGTTTGAAGAGATTCTCTATATTAATGTTTACTTTTTTATTATTGCTTATATTCATTGTTGTCCATTCTGTGTTTAGAAAAATGGATAATATTGATGTTGGTAAAATGTTCCAATCATTTAAAGATATTGAAGAAGCAATTTTATTAATAAAACAATATGAAAAAGAACACACTATTCAACTAACTGGTAGAGATTTAAAAAAAATTTAAGTGCAACAAAAAAATGTCCACAACGAATAGAAAATTGCAATAAAAGGCTTCAATATTACTGTAATAAGTATGCATGTTATAAGGGTGGAAATAAATACAAAATTTCCAGGCCATTTAATGAGGTTTGCCTTATCTCAGGATGGCCAATCCTTTGTTATTTCTGAGATTAAAGAACACCATAATCACATCTGCAACACACTTGCCAAAGCAATGACTGGACATGTTTTTTAATCTCTTTGAGTTAGTTGAATAGTAAGTTCTTTTTTAAATTGATTTATTGCTTTTTCAATATCTTCAATTAATTGGAAAATTTACCAACAGCAATATTATTATCCATTTTTCTAAACACAGAATGGAAAACAATGAATATAAGCAATAATAAAAAAGTAAGCATAAATATAGAGAATCTCTTCAAACGATTCTTTCGGTATTCCTACTTACACACTAAATATTTACTTGATCTTTATTTAATCCAGTTTTGTCTAAATTTTACGGAAATAATAAACTGTTAGTCTAGTCATAATAATATTATGTTAATAATTTTGCTTATACTTTATATTGACTGAAGCACTTGAACAAAAACTACAACCTCCATATTGCAGCTAATTTACAACGGAAATGTTTGAACATTCACCCGGACATATTCGTCCGGCCGTCAGCTGTTCAAGCACAGTTTCAAATAGCGCCCGGACAAATAGTGTCAAATACATGTCGTCCGAACGGCAGGACCAATATACACTCCCTTTAGTTTTTGTTATTAAATAAATTTAAAAAATATAATACTATGTGTAAATTCAAAATTTTACAATTTTTTTTATCAAAAAATAATATGCTAAGTATATGAGTATGAGTTTAAGTATATGAACGTGGCAGGCCACATCGGCTACGCCTTACACTGATCTTCCAGGGTTATTTTACCCCCTTTCGGTTCTATACGTATCCCGCCATTGCACAGCCTTACCTGTGTTTGGTGGATGCAAATTTTCACCCCGGCAGGTAATCTTCCCTAGGAGGTCGTGGATGACATTGTCGATGGTAAAGGAATTTTTTTGCCGGGCCGACCATACGCCCGATTTAGGCAAGTGGAGTGTAGGACAAGGAGGGACAATAGTTGGTTTTTGGGGGCCTTAAACTGACCCAAAACTAAGTACAATCCGGACTCCCCCTCAACCAGGGTATTAGTAATGAATGACACCATTCAATTGAGGTTCATGAATGAGGCATTACGCAAATAGCAAAGTGCAAATATTAAAAAACTTATCTAAATGTGGCTCCTTGTCCCCTTCTAATTGGCCTCACAAACTTTGCAAAGTTTTGCCAAATTATTGACACAAAATGTATGTATATTTCTTTCATATTTCAAAATATGTGAATAATAAATAAGGCTTTTCATGCAAAATCGGCCGGACATGTCTCTGATTTGCTTAAAATTTTGAGGGTCTATAGTAAAACCCAAAAAATGAAAAATTCTAAAATTTCAGCACTTTTTTGCGGATTTAACAGTATAAACAATTAAAAGTAGTAAGTTTATTTGCTTTAGTATATTTCCGAACAGTAGAAAAAATTTAAAAAATTCACACGTACCTACCTTTTGTTAAGACTTTAAAAAAAAATAAAAAAATGTTAATAAAAGAAAAACAATTGTAGATAAATTGATATTTTTAAAAACCGCCATTTTTTTAAATCTGAAAAAAAATATAAGTATAATATAATACTATAATATAGTACTATCCCGAGCAATTTTTACGTATTTACTTTTTTTGCGAAATCGAAAACTAAAGAAGTTACTACTTACTAGTAAGGTAATTCGAAAATTGCCGTCAATCAGTGGCGCGATTTAACGCGCTTCCTTGAAGATGAAAATTCATAAGTTACTAGTTACTGGCTAGTTACTAACCAGTTACTCACTAGCTACTAGCTAGTTACTGACTGTGCTGAGAAATTAATAAAACATGAAATTAGTACCCTACGTTTTAGAAAAAAATCCAGACGTGTAGGGGCTAAACTGAGTTCGGATTAAGTTTGAACAGGCGAAAATAGATAAAAATGTTATGGTCTTATCACGGTGCAGACCACTTCTTTTTTGTGGGCCTGTATAATTAATATTTGTGAAATAGAAACTAAAAAAAATGTACAGTGGCATGTTTTTCTTAATTGTATAATGTAACTTGCAGAGGGTTATGTGAAAATAATTATTAATTTAAATAAATTAATTTTAATCGTTTTTTTTTCACGTCCCAGCAGTTAAGTTGAAAATTGCCGTCGATCAGTGGCGCGATTTAATGCGCTTCTGTAAAGAAAACAATTCATAACTTCAAATAACTACTCAAAAATTGCGCAAATGCATCATACGTATATTATAACGAGAAATATATTGTAGTGAGTAACTCTGGATGACTCGATGAGTCAGCGCTGGAGCGATCGAGAGCGGTCCGGAGCTCGCTGGAATATTCGGGAAGGCGCTTGCGTGACTGGTGTCACGTAGTCACTAAATATATAATATATAAGGAACAGCGCAGCATGGAGCAGTCAGTCAAGCTTTGGTACTCGCAACGAAATAAAATAAATAAACGTGCAAATGAATAGACTCTTGTTAAATAGTGATATAAAAATAATTAGTAGTTAAGTGTTTAGTTAGTTTTATATTTTCTTAGTGTTTTAAGTGTAATTAAGGTATCAAATAAGTCGTTTAGTTCGTTAATAAACCAGTGCACACTACGAACAGTAAAAACTTTACAATACAACTGGGAAAAAGAATGTGTTGCAGCAGCGGCTTCGAGAAGCGTTGGTAAAGGAGGGTGAGAATCCCCTTGTGGAAATTTTTCTCTGAGAAAGTCTTACTTTCTCTTAAAAAGTGTGAATAATACTTATTAAGTCGGAAAAAGTCAGAATAAGACTTATTAAGTCGGAAAAAGTCTGAATAAGTCTTATTAAGTCAGACTAATAGCAAGATTTGGGAGTCTTCTGGAAGAGTTAATAAGATTTTTTAAGACTTTTAGTAGAGAAATGGTAGGTACCTATGGCGATAAAAATAAATATCCGAAATAATTCATAGAGGTTGTATTTGGTTATCGTTACACATTATAAAACACATAGAAAAGTATTTATTAACATTTTTGCTGTTGTTATAAGCCAAGTTTATTGCATAATCACCTATATAATAACATAGGTAAGATGTAATAATTATAACAATTATAATTTTATACATACGATGCGCTTGACATGCTTTCATTGTTTTGGGAAGAACCATATCAAGTCATGGATCGCATAAATGACATTCATCTAAAGGATCAGGAAATAACCAAGAGGAAAGCCGAAAGTGATCCATTTCAACCGATTGACTCCTTACGCTGGAAAAAATTATCAACTAGACGATGCTAGAGTAGGGAGAGTTAATCCGCCGGAAGACGAGTTGCCTTTTGAAGACTTCATATATTTATATTCGAGCGGTAAAAAAGCTCGGTATGGTGTCACTCGAGAAGAGCAAAAAGATCTGTTCACGGTTTCGGCTGATTACTCCTTGGCTCACTGTATTGCAGAAGACCTTAGGATGTCCAGGGTAATAGCGGTTAACCGCAATTATCTATAAAAACAAGTTTGGACGGGTCGACAAGCTACGAAGGCAGAATCCCAAAGTTGGAGAGGTGCTTGAAATTGTGGTCCACAATTTGTGGATAATGAGCAGATAGGCAACAGAAGTATCTTCTATCTGGTAACGAAGCAGCTCTCCCATCAAAAGCCACTACCTTGGCATATGGAATGCCTTAAATAAATTGAGGGATACCCTTTTGTCCAAGGACATCATAAACCTGGCGATACCAAATAATACTTATGGACTTGACAGTTTAGACTGAAGAATAATTAGAAGTATGTTGGAAGTTATCTTCAAATTTAGCGGCATACACATTCTTGTCTGTTGCCACAACACTAAAAAAACAACCATGAGGAAAACCTTAGACTGCTACTTCTATAGGACGTCACAATGCAAGTTTGGATCTCTATGCAAATATCGCCATGGAGCTGAGGACCATTTTCGGGACGTACCGTAGCGAGTACCCCTCTGGATCTCGGATTGATGACTCATCGTCGATGACTCATCGCCTGTGAGTCAGCACTCGAGCGATCGAGAGCGGTCCGGAGGTCGCTGGAATATTAGGGAAGGCGCTTGCGTGACTGGTGTCACGTAGGCACTGAATATATAAGGAACAGCGCAGCATGGAGCAGTCAGTCAAGTTCTGGTACTCGCGACGAAATAAAATAAATAAACTTGCAAATAAATAGACTTGTAAAATATTGATATATAAATGGTTAGTTTTATAGTTTCTTAGTGTTTTAAGTGTAATTAAGTTATAAAATAAATGGTTTAGTTCGTTAATAAACCAGTGCGTGTTTTTATTCACACTACGAACAGTAAAAACGTTACAATATTTTATAAACATTTAAATTCATTATTTTACTTCATTTATTTTACTTACATAGTATATTATAGATTATATGCATATGTGGTGACATCATCCTTGCGGTGGTCTCGGCCACCGCCACGCACGCGGAATTGTGCTCAGTCCGCCTATTTGGCTTAATGCTACCTACCCATTTATAAAAACTTAATAAAAAGTTTTCTTTAAAATGAGCAAGGTATATCCCGTATGGTCTAGTGGTTAAGATACCTGGTATACAGGGATGGTAATGTGCTCTTAGGCCGTTTATTAAATAAAGACAAATGCATTATGAGACGTGGGAGTGGTGGAGTGACGTAAGAGTAGTGGGGCAAGTCAGACCGCGCCGCGCGGCTACGATCATCGTCCGAGACGGGCGGCCCGGCCGCAGAGTCTGCTCGGCGCAGACAAGAGAATGTGTTGTAAGGTTATTAATCTATGGTTGTAACTTACAACTTGTAAGTAAGAGGTAGTACGTTTGTAATAAATTAGGAAATATTCTCTAATAAAAATGGTTTACACCCTTGAAGAAAAGATTCAATTTATAACGTGGCATTTAAATGGGATCTCAGATCGAGAAATTCAAAGATTATTTCCAAATATGTTCCCAAATAGACCCTTACCAGCAAGGGCAACAATTCAAAATGTTGTAAATAATTTGAACATTTGCTTTAAATTATTTTTTCTTTACGTTTTTTAGAATACTTTTTTATTTGAGAATATTTGTTTTTTTATTACAAGAATATTATTGTTTATTTTCCACATTTCCTAAGAAATATTTGCAAGGAATTTTTGTTTCTGTAAACAAAATTATAATAAAATATTTACGTTGTTTTATAACAACCGACTACACCCTACCTCAGTCGTAATGAAACTGACACTAAATAGTGGCAAATCTCCATTGTTGTATCATGGCAAATCTCGAACATGTCGAGTGGGCGGGACCTGCCCGGCGGGTAACGCAGATAGTTAAAGAAGGGGAAGCAAAACATTGGCGTGTAATAGACCGTTTTGATTTAATTGTTTTAAAAATTTCTACTACACGCTCATGACGGAGGGGAATCACGTTTGTTAACCAGTCGATGGTTGTTAATCTCACTCTTTCGTACGTTTTATATTGCATGCATCTTTGTCACAATTTGGCCTAAATGTGCATTATTACCACTGTATACAGTCTTTTCACATAATAGACACACTATGCACGTGATTGTCCCTTTATCGGTAGGCAGGAGCACGACTTACAACCTCCAAATTGACCAATAGGGACCTCGCTACGCGTATACCACGCGGTTTAATTGTATTTGTTTTTGTCCGTGTTTTAAATAAAACCCACGAGGCTCGAGTTCGATTCCCGGTACCGACATGTTTTTTTTCATTTTTTCTCCCTCATTAAAAAAATGTTTTTGTTGTCAAATACAATGTGACACTGCTTTTTGAAGTTTTTTTCTCTAAAAGAATTTGCGTATTTCCAAATTCATAATCTTGTTATAAATTTAAGACAAATTTTAAACAAATATGGGAAACAAATTTTGTACAAAAAAGAGGACACCGCATGATTCAAATTGTATACAATATATTTATATGTATAAATTTTGATAAAAATTTGATTCAGCTGTGTTTCAAGGAATATTAATAATCTTGTAGGATACCAGACTAGTAGAGAATTTGTTCAATTCGCAGAATTTTTTTTAATCATTTATAAAAAATATAGCGCTCTCGACTCCTAGCTTCTTATAAAAATCCAATTTTACAACCTAAAAAAATCACTAGAAATCTGTTTCTCGAGTTCGTAGGAGTAGAAATTTGTAATAGAAATGGGCGGAGTTCTCTCGAAAACATCTACAGCTGTATTCTTGAAACCAGCAAGTGAATATTTTCATGCATTATCGGGCGAATCCACTTCTACTACTGATTTGTAGTAGAATTCAAGATTCCCGAGAGAAAATTTGACATTTTACGAATATTAGTAAAATACTCAACCTAATTTATTTATCGTTTATTCTGTGGTATTAGTATTAGTGTTTATGCTTATGTTCTGTGTGCTTTCAAGTGATTATTACAATTACAATGGATCCGCACAATTTAAATCTAGCGTTTAATATTATCAGAAACTTGCAAGATGCTGAAGAACAAGCAGATGAACCCAACCGAGTTGTTTTAAACCGGAAAAATCCATTTCTGTTATCAGAAATAAAATTTATGAGATATTTTAGAGCTAATAATCTTTGCTTGCTCCACCAGGGACACTATTTATTGTTACTTATAGCAAGTTCCTGCCATTTTGCCTGTGCCTCTTTTTTTCTCAATTCTGCAAAATTGTCACTTAAAAGTTGAGGGTAGTTTTTTAAGAAGTCTAATAAAAAAAATTGTCTTGCAGTAAAGGACACTTTTCGTTCCAGTTTGACTAGTAATAACTAATACAAAAAAACTCTTTGAATTTGCAACAAAAACCTACTACATCTAGGTTATTAATCACATTTCAAATGTGACATTAGTCAACTTAAGTTACGCGGGAAATTTAAATTACTTTAATTTGATTGGGCAAATAAATATGGCAACATGCTTCTCACGGTAACCCGTCGAGAATACGACTTTGGCATACCGAGAGAAAATTTCGGGGATGTTAATGTTCGTTCTATTACAGGGAGAGCTCTCCGGCGGATATTTTCTCTCGCAGTCAAGAATAGGGGTCCAGATGATAAAAGTCGTGTTTGGGGGCGTCCATAAATCTCGCGACGCTAGAGGGATGAGAAAGGTTTAAAGGACCGTTACTATTTGTCACGCTCGAGTAGGGTTTTAAAGTTTCGCCAAAAAAAAACAGAAAAATTGGGAAAAAACCTGTTTTCCGTTTTTTGTCCAGGCCATGAAAAAAATGGCTTTTTTGGGACATATACACATTTAAAAAAGTGAAAATCAACAACTTAACTTGCAGTTTTTCGTATTAACCTTTGAATAAAATGAAAAGAATGCCAAAGTCAATTTTTCTGAAAATTCCACAATTTTTCTTTTTTTTTTCGGAAGAAAAACGGTTTTTTTGCCGGTTCAATTTTTCCGGAAATTTTAAAACCCTACTCCCGAGTGGTGAAGGGTTTTTAAAATTTCACGTGACAAAGTAAATTGAATAAAATTGCATATTTGTTCCATTTTTATTCATATTATTACAAAAAAGAAACGAAAAAATATTTGTAGAGGGTTGGGGAGTTCGAAAATTCGTCACATTCGTGGGATAGAAAGGGGGTCAACTTTGACTGTTTTTAGCGGTACAAGATTCATGGATAGACTGCCCCTTTCTTTAAATTTGCGAGTTTGTTTTCCAAAAGCCCTGCTCAGGAAAATTGCCGTATCTACAATATTAAGTAATAAAGGACAAAAGATAATTTTTATTGTTTTTTAACAGTACAGTGCCTTTGAACATTAGTGTACCTAAGTAAAATAAAACATTTAACGCATAAAAAATAGTTAATCATAAATCATTTGGGGATAGTTCTTCTATTAATCCATAATCACACAAAAAATGATTTAAAAAAACGCCGAACGTGAAAAAAAAATATTTTTAATCTACTTTTATTTTTGTAGCTGTCGAATTGTGGATAGAATATGCTCAGTACTCAATTGGAGCAAGTGGTTTGGAGAAAACGCGTTTAATAATTGAAAGAGGACTCACAGCAGCTGGTTTGCATGCTACCAAAGGATGTTTATTGTGGGACACTCTTCGAGAACTAGAATTTGCTCATTTTTCTTTAGCTCCAAAAGATTCAGAAGAATGGAAGCTTCAGGCAAGTAGATTAGCTGATGTTTTTAAAAGACAGTTATCTGTGCCACTGCTGAACATGGAGAATACTTATAAAGAGTGGCAAGAATGGTTTCAAACCTTACCAGAGGGTACTGTAGACCCTATAACTGTAGAATGGGGGTATAAAAAAGCTCTAAAAACCCTTGAGACATATAAACCATTTGAAGAAAAACTATTAATTGCTGAGAATGATGTTGATTTTTGCAATATCTATAAAGAATATATAAAAATAGTTACTGATCCATCTAGTATTATGTGTTTGTATGAAAGGGCTTGTTTAAAGTTATGTTTAAATCCGAATATTTGGTTGGATTATTGTTCTTATTGCTTTAAACTTGGCGAAACAGCTTTAAAAGTTTGTGATAGAGCTCTAAGAAATTGTAGTTGGAGTGAAGAACTTTGGATTACAAAACTAAGAATTTTGGAGAATTTGGAAAGGGACAGCAAAGAGGTTCTTAATAAGTTTGAAAAAGGTAAGAAAATATTAATCAACGTTTAAAAAAATTTTGATTATTATATTTTATTAATTAAATTTTACTGTAAATTTTAGGAATAAGCAATATATGTCCACCAGGCTTAGAACTCTGGTTAAGTTACTTGGAATATTCATGCAGAAGTAAACCACCAATAGAAAAGCTGGACAAACTGTTTGATCAAGCCAGGCATCAGTTTACATATGAAACTGATCCAACATCAAAAATAACTAAATGGTTTGCAATTTCTTTAGCAAAGAGGGGCGAAATGGCCCAAGCCAAGAAAATGTGGAAAGCCATATTACAAAAACCAGAAAATAAAGGTTAGTAATATTTCTATATATAGGTAAGCACAGACATATACATATACATATATATGTCTATGCTTACCTAACTGATTGCCTAAAATGTATACTGTTTTATAATTTTAGCAAGTGCCAGTGTTTGGTTAGAATACATAAACCTAGAAAAGAAATATGGAGATGAAAATGAAGTCAGAAATCTTTTTCAAAGGGCGTTGTCATCTTGCAGTGATTGGCCCATATATATTGCAGAGGAATGGATGATGTTTGAAAGAGTTTTTGGTACATTAAATGATGTTTTAAAATGTTCGGAAAAGTGTAAGGAATTTCTGCAAAAAGTTGATCAGACTATTCAGCAAAGTAGACAAGAATACAAAGATGATAATAATAAAAATAATACTCCAGGAAAAGGTAAGAAACGAAAGAAAGAGTCAGTGGTGACAACTGTGGAAAGAAAGAAGTTTAAACCTGAACAAAAGGAAAAAGAAGTTGTAGCTGTAAAAAGAGTTCCAATAGAAAAAGATCCCACTAAAACAGTGTTTGTTAGTAATTTACATCCTCATGTTACTGAAGAACAATTGAGGAAAATGTTCCCCAACTCTGTGAATTTGGAGCTTGTTCTTGACAAAAAGGGCAAATCGCGTTGTTTTGGTTATGTCCAATTTAGCATGGAAGAAGAAGTAATGACAGCATTGGCTAGAGATAGAGAACCTCTGGATGGCAGACCAACATTTATTTCAAATTGTAAACCAGACAAAAACGAAAGAAAAACTACCTTTAAATATGCTGCTGAAGTAGAATCTAACAAACTTTTTGTAAGAGGTCTTCCAGTCTCCAAAAATCAGGAAGATGTAGAAAAGATTTTTAAACCCTATGGAGCCAAAGCAGTAAGACTTGTCCTCCACAAAAGCGGCCAGCCCAAAGGTCTCGCCTACGTAGAATTCGAAACCGACAAAGAGGCATCAGACTGCGTGCCAAAAACGGATCAAATGACAGTCGATGGCCACGTCATAAGCGTTGCTATTAGTGCCCCACCTCCTAAGGGTTTAGGTTTGCAACAAAAACCCAGAAGAGACGAGCCAATCAGACACGCAAGAAGTCAACTCCAGATGCCCTTGATGGTTCCGAGAAGCCTACAAGTCAAGAAACCTGAGGAAAGTTCAGGCAGTAAGCCAAAAAGTAATGCTGATTTTAGAAGCATGTTTTTAAAGAAATAAATTATGTGATTAGATGTTCTTTTTAAAATAAAACTAAAATAAAAGTAACGTTTCTGTTTTAATTAGCCTTGCATCAATAATTTTTTATTTCTAATAATTAATAAGAAAGAAATCTGTTTTAAAAAGATTTGTCATCTTGCAATTATTAATCTAAGTATATTACAAAGGATTGGATAATTTTAAAATAGTTTTTTTAATAATGTTTTAAAATGTATAAAAAGATTCTTCCATAAAAAAACCTTTCTCTATGGATTCTTCAAAAGGTTGAGACTATAGTATAGTAGAACTAGGTATAAGCTTTATGTACAAAAGTGCTCTTTTAGTTCCACCCTTACTTCCTAAGAAATCCCAGAAGCCAATTGAATGGGTTGAGCGGGTTAGGGGTAGGAACGGACCGCGGGCTTAAAGTTCCCTCCGAAGGACTAATATACAATAGGACAAACACAAATATACAGCCATACCCCTGATGGGATTTGAACCCACAACCTCTCGGCTTATAGTCGCAGCACTAACCACTAGTCCACCGTCGGCGGTTGTTTATAATATATTTTAAATAATACATATATATATATATAATAGAAAACTACCTTGGACCCAAGGATTTTGTAAAATCCTTGCCTTGGACCATGTTTTTAAGCTTAATTCTTAATTTTTAAAAATTACCTGGTGCTTTTATGTGATCATTTTGAAATTAAAAAAGATCTTTTCCCTTTTTTGGTATCTAAAACATTTTTTCAGAAAAAAAAAATATAAAAAAAAACAGTTATAATTCTTTGAACAACACTAAAATTGCAATCACAGAGAGCTGTAAAAGTAGCTTTGAACAACCCTTTAATAAGCGCCATCTAGATAAAAATTATGCAACAATATAATTTTCGCGGTTTTTTATTTTAAGGTTTTTTACATAATTTTAAAAACTATTGCAATATTTCAATTTTATTTTTGTAAATTATACTTACTTTAATATAATTTTTAAAAATTTCAACTTTTTGTATGCAATTTTTTCGGTTTTCTGGGGACTTTTTGTTTTAAATGTCAAAAATATAAAGTTGGCAGTAAAATAGAGTTTTGTCATTTGTCAAACAAAACATAAAAACTTAGCAATTTTTAGAAGAACTTTATGTAAATAATAATATCATTGTAAATGGACGATTAATCGTTTAACAATTTGTGTGAATATTTACATTGTATTACTTTCCTATGAATTTATGTGATACGCTTATATGAGTTAACCTTATATGACCTGTCAACTAAACTGTTATTAAATAAGATTATTTGCTATGGTAAATTTAATTAAGATATTATTCTCTTAATGAAGAATAACACATCATGTTCTATTTCAGGTTGCTTGTATAAGTGATAAGTTTTGTTAAAAAATTTGTAAAATAAATTGCAATAAATCTTGATTTTGGATATGGCAAAAAATGTATATAAATAGTTATAATTACTATTAGGAAACCTAAAGATGTTCAATTCAGGGATTAAAAGAAATTATAGGTAATTGGATTTGTTTATTTAGCAATCAATAGATGCATTACAATGTGAATTGTTTGTAGGTGTAACGGAATAAATTCTTTACCTACTATTGATCAGGTAATTAAGGATAAGTCAGTTGGTCATACAAATTACAAGTTAATAAGTTTACATGGACAAAAAGACATATACAATAATGAAAAACGTGATAAGGGTTTCGTTAGAAGTGAGTCTTTTAATTCAACACACAATAGTTTTGATACCAAGATAAAAACTGAAAATGAGCAAGACATTGAGGATAAGATAACTGCCCACAGTATTATAGGTAAATGATTTAGCCAAATATCACCTTGGGTTAGAGTTCCTGTATATATAAATGTTTTTTTGTATGTTTAAAAATTACAAAAACATACTTGGAAAATTGACAACCAAACAAAATTACCAATTATATTGTCCAAAAATTTCTACTCATGCAGGATGTCCCATAACTAATGAACTATACAGCAATAGTTGCTGTAGAAATAGGAGATCAAAATAGGTTGATTAACACAAATATGCCCTAGTAATTTAGGTTGCATAACACAAATATGCCTTATTATTTGTGTTAAATGTTAATAATAATCAAGATAAATGTGAGATGATATTTTGAAAATTTGTAATATTTAGAAAACAATTAAATGAATCCAACCAAATTTGTACAGTCCTATAGCTTTTAAAGAATAAAAATAAAAATTTGTAGTTTTGAGATCACTCAAGTGAAAAACTGCTTGAGTACTCGATTATTAATATAACTGACATCACTGGATTATTAAAATGACTACTTGACTTATAAATTCAAGCGAAAATCGTCGCTTACACCGAGAAAAATACACTAAACATTTGCCTAAATGTCATTTTTTAAAACTTTGTTTCAACAAAAAACCTATTGGATTAATTTATATTTTAGCTCAAAGCAATAGTCAGATTTTGTCAAAGTTTATTTGTTCATTTGACAGTTAAAATATTTAAACTAATGTTTAAATTAAAGAGTTTATCCTATTTTGATTTAATTGCTAAGAATTGGTTGAATCAAATACTAAAATTGTTAGGATTACCTAAAAAAACATTTAATTAACATTTAGTTGCTCTTTAATCCACAAGAATGTCAATATTTTTAAAATTTTACTTTTACATATCAAGAATGTTAAATTATTAGTTATTAAACTTATAAAAAACAGATTAGAACACTGCCTAGAAACAACAAACATCCTATACCCTTTTCAATTCGGGTTCCGAAAAGGAAAAAGTATATTGGATCCACTAGCCTTTATAACATCAACTGTACAAACCGAACTCGTAAAAGGGAACCACTCAATCCTAGCAACCTTAGACATCGCAGGAGCGTTCGATAACGTAGTTCTTCCCATCCTATATCCCCTCCTCGCCGAATCTAACTTTCCGAAAAATATAGCAGATCTAATTCTAAAACTTTATGGAAACAGACACATATATATATTCGATCCAGAAGCCAAAGACTATAAACTCGGTCCCAACACAGCCTCCCTCGGGCTCCCCCAAGGCTCAATCCTCAGCCCTCTCCTCTTCAATGTATACACCAATCTACTACATCATAACGCCTTCATGCAATGTAAAATCATCCAATATGCCGACGACCTTGCCGTCCTGTGCTCTGGCCCCAACGACAATACCCTCGTGGATTCAATCAACTACACCCTCGACCATATCAACAACTGGCTACTAGATCATGGCTTGAATATAGCCCCCCACAAAAGCTCTGCCATTCTCTTTAGGAAAACATCTACTTACCGCCCCTTAAATAACATACATACAACCGGTCAAATAATCCCTTGGGCAGATTCTATAAAATATTTGGGTGCCACATTAGACTACTCGCTAAGCTGGAAAGAACATATAGACCACGCATGCATCAAGGCGTCCAAGAGGCTAAACATTTTAAGAAGTTTATGTGGTACAAAATGGGGGGCGGACCCCCGAACTCTACTTCTGATTTACAAAGCATGTATAAGGCCGTTCCTGGATTTTTGCAGTCCCCTCTTCTCTCGAGTACCCAAGACCCACATCTTAAAACTATCAAAAATCCAACACCAAGCATTAAGAATTATAGGAGGATACATGAAAACTACCCCAGTTAATGTATTACTAGCGGAAATCGGGGAACAACCACTCCACCTAAGAAGGGAATGGCTGGCTTCCAAGTATGTAGGCAGACTGTTCTCCTTGGAAAACCACCCAGTCAAAGGAAAATTTATAGGCGTCTACTCGGACTACTATGACGACGGAATATACTGGGCAAACAAATCTCCTCCCCCTATAATCTACGCATTGGACTTCTTTCTCAACAAAACCGCCTCGATAAAAACTTCCCCCCTCCTTCCCTGCTTCAATACAAACTTCGACTCCATCACCGTTACACGAAAGATCCACGTTCCCGCCCTCCAAAAACAAACTGACAATAAACAGGCTTTTCTGCACTACTTTCAAAACAAATGGAAAGGCTGGGAAGCCTACTACACGGACGGCTCAGTCAGCCAAGTCGGAGTTGGGTCAGGAGTTTATAGCCCTTCCAATCAACTAAAATACTCCGCCAGACTCCCAAACCATGCCTCCATAGCGACAGCAGAATGCTTCGCAATTGCTCAAGCTCTGTTACACGCTACAAACAGCCATATTCAAACCGGAAGAAGACACTTCATTATCCTCTCAGACTCCCAGGCAGCACTTAAAAAAATATGTAACACCAACAACACCGCAAAAAAAGACTCTCTCACATTTGAAGCTAAGACCACCTTACACAATCTAGAAGTACGGGGAGCCAAAGTAGAATTCTGCTGGGTCCCCAGCCACACGAACATCCCCGGCAACGAAATAGCGGACAACCTAGCCAGCAAAGGATGCAAGTTGGAAGACCTAACAGAAACAAGATCACCCTACGAAGATCTCATAAAACTTATAAAACACGACATACACAAGAGATGGAAAAACACATTTAAGGAAAACCTAACGCAATCAGGCAGATTCTACTCCACACATACACCAGAACTTCAAAAGCCTTGGATCTCAATCAACTCTCTTGATAGAAGACACATCACTACCTTCCTGAGACTAAGAAGTGGTCACTGTCTCACAAAATCCCATCTGCATAGAATTGGCTTAGAAACCAGCCCTTCGTGTGACTGCGGAGCCACCGAACAAGACCTCCACCACATATTTCTAGAATGTACAACACAGACAGACCACATCAACAACCTATATAGAAAATTAAGTAGAATCTCCATCAATCCCATAAACCTGACAAACATCTTAAATAACCCCACGCACGAAGTTATAGTTGCAGTACTCGCCTTCCTAGATTCAACTAACACCAGGCTGTAAAACCCCCCTGCTCTCATTCGCTCTGACCTACCCGCTTTGCATGGCTACGCCTTACATATAAAACCTAATACCCAAATTCCTTTTCACCAGCACGTTAACAGCCAACATACTACCCCGGATAACGCCTAAGAATCCAGACCACTGGCTGATATGGTTTACACAGACCAAGGCCAATAAATAAAAAAGAAGAAGAAGAAGAAGAATGTTAAATCAACCATATTAGCAGATTTAAACAAAAATTCTTATTTTGTTTATTTCAGTATTATTTGTTGTTCAATTAAACAATAAAATTTGACATTTTTAGATGGTTAAGTAAAGTGCCCAAAGAGTTGAATTAATACTCTTATTGTTGTTTCAACAGCTTATTTTTTTCGGTGTACAATCTACCAAACTCAAAAATATCCTGATATTCTATTTCATTTTAAGTCATCATTAAAAGCACCTAAACAAAAAGGTGCACAATCCCAAATTCCTATGGATTAAGTTTAAACACCCAGAGTGTTGTCTGAGATGACCTGTCAATTGGACCTCTTGGATCCATCCACAGAAATCTTTATTCTTTCTTGCTTGCCTCCTGCTTCATTAGCAACACCAACAATTAAAAAATCGTTCGAATTATATTGCGAGTGATGCAAGCTGCAAGCGATTTACCCGAATATTCATAAATGAGAGTGATAAATCGCTCGATTATAATCGAGCGATGATGTTATTTCAATGTATTAAACTCAAAATTTGTGCAGTATAGTTTTTTGACTTAAGAGGGTGCTAATGATCAATGCTTACTTTTCACCTCAATTTGACAGGTGTCATTTTTAGTGTTGGAAAAAACCGATGATTTTTAATAATCAAGTACTAGATACTCCAGCGATTTCAATATATTGAAATCGCTGGAGTATCTAGTACTTGATTATTAAAAATCATCGGTTTTTTCCAACACTAAAAATGACACCTGTCAAATTGAGGTGAAAAGTAAGCATTGATCATTAGCACCCTCTTAAGTCAAAAAACTATACTGCACAAATTTTGAGTTTAATACATTGAAATAACATCATACATTTATTGCCCTGTATCTTGTTTAATATGAACATTTTTCTAAGGCATATGTGTCAATCAACCTATTCAATAGGTCCTATTGTGACTTCATATTTCTACACTTGCTGTATTATCCATAAATTATGGATAAAATAAAACTATACTCTTCCCCTAAGGCTTAAGTAATCCATACTAATGTTGTTGTTTTAGGATTAAGTGAAGAAACTGGTAAATTGCACAAATCGCCAACTGAAGTAAAACCAAGAATTAAAAGGGGAAGCATTCGTGCCACCCATCATGAAACACTTCAACGGATAGAAACTGAGCAAGATGTTTACAATCATTATCAACAACATTGGTTCAGTGCCAGTCTTGAGGTAAGTGTCAAGAATATTACAATTTAAAAGTTAGTATGAATATTGTTCTTAAACATTTGAACAGGCCCATTCCTGGGGTTTCTGGCGCCTACATGCAGCATTCGTTGGTGGTTATATTTAAATATATTACATTAAATATTTTAATTTTAAGCCCTTAAATTTAAAAAATATATATTTTGCGACAAACTGGCAATATGTAATTGAAAATTTAAAAAAAAACCGCTTAAATTAAGTATAAAAAATATTTATTAAATTATCAAACAAAGAAAATCACAAAAAATATTCAGTGATAAAAATACTCTAAAGAAAACAAAGAAAAACAATCTAAACAATATAATAACTACAACTGGTTTTTAGTGACGTACTCTCTAAAAATGAATTAGTTAAAAGTAAAAAAGCAGTCACTAATAACTTAAGTCCACAGGAATTTGTATCCCGGACATTTAACAGTTTATTATTATGTAAAATTATGAAAGTAAAGCAGTTTTTAAGATATAGTCAATTCCATATTATATGGATAATTTACTAAATCTCAAAAACGTTCTACTTTTATAACTTTTGACGACATTTTCGGATTCAGCAGACAATTTTTTTTTATTTCTATTGACGATAATTATTAGAATTGGCTGTTCAATTTTGGGATACCATGGTATTCCATGGTTAACCATGGTACAAGTGAAAAGGCAGCCATTAATAACTATTAAATTAGTCATTTTTGACTAATTCTATTTTAGAGAGTAAGCTCGTTACAAAGTCATGCACTGTGGCGGCTCGTGGCAGTAAAATTTGTGAGTTCTGCCAGTGGGGTTTAAAAAAATGTGGCGCAGTGGGTATTTAATTAAATGATACCTACAGTTAATTAATTAAATCATACACCACATTCATTTTTACAAAAGACCACAACAACTAACACAAAAATACACCGAATTAACAGTCTTCTAGTTAAAATAACAAACGTGAACGCGAAGCGAAAAACAAACGACCGGGAAGTAGGAACTCTATGTTGGTGCAGCTCCGGTTTGGCTTAAATTTCGCTATTTTAACCTAGGACCAAGAGCGGCGCGGAGAAAAATTACGGTATTGAAATGGGAGCCAGAACTCGAAAGTGGCTCAGCTTTGTTGTATTGTAAGCGTTAAGCGTTAGAGACCTTTACCGGTCGTTTGGATGACTGTAGTGGCCAAGTACGGCGACACGGCGAATGTTTATAATAAAAACTTTTTATGCAGCCATGCGTTTGAAATATTCATACACTGTCGCACTTAAATATTAAATAATTAAAAAATTAGTCAAGTAATAAGAAAATTTTGGGAGTTCTGCAGCTCTGCAGCCCTTATGCACTAGCCGCCCCTGGTGAAGACTACTGTTAAACTTTGCTACCGTCAACTGCAACTATCAATCAAATACTAAAAATATTATGACCATTTGGCTCCTTTTATTTTGATCCTCATATAAAAAAAAATAAGCCGCCAATATCAAAGCGGCAAAAGGCGCTTTATAGCGCAAAAAAAGGGCGGTAACCTTTATCATATGTATGTTTAAGTATTATATGCAAGAAAGTTTATCGTTACAAAGTACTGAATGACTCTTTGATTTTGCGCCCCCAAAATGTTGCTCCTGCGTGCGTGCACGCACTGCACGCTCGCCAGGAACAGGCCTGCATTTGAAAACTGTATATTGGCACAAGTTGACTTTAATATTATAATTCACAATTGGTGAGGAATTAACCAAATTGTATAACCTATTTTATGATTGAAATTATGCTTAAAATTTATAGAAAGAGCCATAAGATTACTTTGCAAAGCAAAATAAAAGATTCAGATTCAGTCATGAAAAAATTTTTTTTTTCTGCATTAGCATTTAACAAATTAATGCATTTTAGAGAGTTGTTCCCAGTGGCAAAGCGTAGAATTTTTGGATGGGTAAATAAATATAGGGTTAGATAAACAAGTGTATAAAATCGGGTACTTAAATATACAACTGGGTCTTCTATTTGACCTAGCAGTTTTTGTTAGTTCTAGGATTATTCGCATGCGCAATAACAACACAAGGTTCCTTATAAGGGATAATGCGTTGTTATTGCGCATGCAGAACTAACAAGAACTACTTGAGCCATAAGATTACTTTGCAAAGCATTAGCATTTAAGATTAAAACAATAATATTATTATGAAATTAATGCATTTTAGAGAGTTGTTCCCAGTGGCAAAGAGTGGAATTTTTGGATGTGTAAATAAGTATAGGGTTAGATAAACAAGTGTATAAAATCGGTTACTTAAATATACAACTGGGTCTTTTATTTGACCTCTTTCTTTAGGACTGAGTAATATTTAATAATTTATTATTTTTGTATACTTTAGAATTAAAATCATAACAATAGGGCCAGACACCAATTTCATGATCAAAATGACGCTTGGGGCAATTAATAGCTACGCTGGCCTATTGCGGTAGACAAAAGCAATTTTGTCTATTAAGTTAATAGTATTAACCAGCCTTGTCAGCATGTCGTTCGGTTTCGCCAGATCTCGGGTTTACGAGACAAATTTAAATTTGACTACACTAAGCTCTGAAGTTTTCTTAAATAAAATAATGTTAGGAAGAAGTCAGAATATGTAATTAAAATATGTTTTAAACAAACATGAAACAGTTTCACATGTTTATTAGTTAAATAATAACTAAAGTGTGGAATAAAAAAACGAAACCTTTTAATTGCTAAAAAACCGAAACTTATGTTGTTGTGTTAAAATTTAGTTAAATTTACATTATATTTAAAAATCTAGTGTTTTTCCTAGATAGGTACAGAGGTAACAGACTATTTTATTAGATTAAATAACAAGTGTATAAAATCGGTTACTTAAATATACAACTGGGTCTTTTATTTGACCTCTTTCTTTAGGACTGAGTAATATTTAATAATTTATTATTTTTGTATACTTTAGAATTAAAATCATAACAATAGGGCCAGACACCAATTTCATGATCAAAATGACGCTTGGGGCAATTGATAGCTACGCTGGCCTATTGCGGTAGACAAAAGCAATTTTGTCTATTAAGTTAATAGTATTAACCAGCCTTGTCAGCATGTCGTTCGGTTTCGCCAGATCTCGGGTTTACGAGACAAATTTAAATTTGACTACACTAAGCTCTGAAGTTTTCTTAAATAAAATAATGTTAGGAAGAAGTCAGAATATGTAATTAAAATATGTTTTAAACAAACATGAAACAGTTTCACATGTTTATTAGTTAAATAATAACTAAAGTGTGGAATAAAAAAACGAAACCTTTTAATTGCTAAAAAACCGAAACTTATGTTGTTGTGTTAAAATTTAGTTAAATTTACATTATATTTAAAAATCTAGTGTTTTTCCTAGATAGGTACAGAGGTAACAGACTATTTTATTAGATTAAATAAGACTTAAATTTATTAGGAAATCACTTTATTTTTGAAATGCGATGTAGTTATTTGGAAAAAAGATACTGCCCGACACGCTCATTAGTTTTGGCCGAGCCGGAGATTCGGCCAATTTTTAGCCATGTTTATTATTTAAATAATAACTAAAGTGTGGAATAAAAAAACGAAACCTTTTAATTGCTTAAAAACCGAAACTTATGTTGTTGTGTTAAAATTTAGTTAAATTTCCATTATATTTTGCCCAGCATTTAACCAAACTAAAAGTATTTGTTTGTTCTGATGTCCTTTTTAACAGGCACGTAGGCGGAGAACAATTCGGGGGGGATGTGGTAAAATAAGAGTAAAATAAAATTTTAAAGATCATAAGCTTGTTAGGATTTCCAAAAAAATCTTAAAACATAACTGTTTTTCACAATTCGGGGGGGGTTAAACCCCTAAACCCCCTGCATTTTATGGTAGTTAGTGTTCTCTACCGTGTATATGACATTAAGTTCGTTTATTATCCTTACTATCATTAGCATTAACTAACAAAAAAACATTCATAGAAATTCAAGCTGGAAGACAGATCGCGAGAAGAACGAATAGAAATTACGCGGCATGAATTCAGGCGGCACATCCAACAGATAATGCGCAGTAACATCGGGCAACCGAACAAATTTCCACTGCGAGTCGAGTGCCAAGAGAAGTGCAGCGAGCAGCACCCGAATTTGCGCAACAGATGCCAATCGGGCTACAGCCGCTTGGTGACGCCCAAGATGTGCGAGGTCGAGGAGTGCCGCGCGCCTGCACTGCCCTGCGCCAAACACTGCACCCTGCACATCATGCTGAACGCCGACCAGGTCCTGTTTGACTATTGCACGGCAAAGTTCGCCGATAACACCCAGTGTTCGGTGCCCGTGTTCGACATCACCCACGAGCTGCCCCTCTGTCCGGAACACGCCAGAAAAAGGGTAACTATTTTTTTTTACTTGAAAAAGAACAACTTTTGTGATATGTTAAACAAAACCAAAACAAAACACAAAGTGCTTGAAGTACTTTTCGCCAACGATGTTGGCATCTTTGAAGCGAAGTGTAAATGTACTTCACGCACTTTTTGTTTTGTTTTGATGTTGGGGAATATTTCTAATATTTGTTTATTCGTTTTTTGTTCAAATCAAGATTCTCAAGTCTATAGACTGTTATAAAGTGTAAAACCAATTTTTGTTTTGCCTTAATACTCACAGTCTATATTTGAGTTTTTGTTTCTGTTAAAAACGATGGTATATTTTTATTGACGACGTGGTTATTCAAAGAGTAAAATACTCTAGTAACCATGGCCAGAACAAAGTTTTAAATTTTGCATTTTTTATTCTATACCTAATTTAAAAATTGTCATATACCGTCAAGGTAAATGCAATAGGTTGTATTTCAGAAATATCAAATAAAAAAAAACCTCCAATATATTTATTATTCCTCTCTGATTTGTTTGAAAATGTATTTTCTTAATTGAATTTGCAATAGACGAACAGTGCTATAATCAAGTTATTTGCGTAAAATATACAGAAAAATAATTTATATAAAGCTCAAAATTGAGTGTTCCGTGCACTACTACAACTTCAAGTTCCAATTCGGACATCTTATGTGCCACCCTTATGACTTATACTTATATTAATTGTCATTTGGAGCTCAAAAAAGGTTAGCTGAAAAGTTTTGCGGTAGTTTTGATAATTGGTGTTTATATAAATTATCGTATCTTTACCGCTCGCGCCGCGTCGTACTTATATTTAATAATAATAATAATAATATCTTTATTGCCCAACAGAAAAGGAATTCCAATTACAGGACAATTATAATAATACAGAATATATAAACAAATACTAAAGTAACTATAAATTCAAAAAAAAAAGTTTAGCTAATTTCAAAATAATTTATGGCCAACGTTGTAATATTTTCAATAGCGGCAACTGCAATATCACATTCATTGCATATTTTATTGAAGTTACCACTCATGACAAATACTGGAGATTTCAAAAGAACATTGGTTCTGGCATATGTATTATAGAAAGTTAAAATAGATCTAGCATTAATTCGTGGTACGTGAATGTTAAAGAGTGATATTAAAAAGGTACTGTCTATTTCATTTCTGAACAGCCCGTACAGAAATTTAATACTAGTTAAAAATCTTCTACATTGCAAGGACCTTACATTAAATCTATTTAACAATGAAATATGTTCAGTACCTCTAAGGTAGAGTCGGCGTCATTGTCCCCCAAACACAAACATGTCTATCCCTCACGTCCTACCACCTTAATGACCCTACTGGGCGTATAGCATCGGCCCGGCGAACCCGGGAATGTCTATTTAAACTATTGGCATTTCGCTCTCGAGCCCTAATTAGGGGACAATACTGGACGCAATGGACATTCGCACCCAGCAAACACGGGTGAAACCGCACCGTTGCTGGTGGCGAAAGAAAATCGGCGTAAGGAAAAAAAGGTTTTTGGGCGCCGTTTTTTCCATATGGCGATGCGAGCGGCAAATATACGAAAAGTGCACCTCGAAATATATAAAAATACCAAATTTCAAAAATTTACAGGTAAGCGTGCTCTAAATCACATATTGTCGAAAAATAGTTTTTTAGCAGTCGAATGCGGAAAAGACATTTTCCGGGCGAAAGTGTCCATTTGTAGAAAACATATTTTTTTGAAAGTGCACCTTTCCGCACGCTTGTAGAAAAAAGTATATCTTGCTCCCTGATTTCCGGTGTACTTTATCTCACTTAATAGTTAGGGGTACAACCCGGGTTGTTTCACATTACAATTTTGGTGAGCTGATTATTTTTTTTTAACATTTTTCCGGTACTCAGTTACTTTATGTTATTTTAAATTTATTGTTGTCTATGGGCCTTTCCATCTTAAATCGACCAGGCGAAAAGGGGTAGGTCGTTATTTTTCAACGAATTTTTTTACAGTTTCTCTACCGAAATTGATGGGACCCGTATTTATTTTTTTTTTGCTCGAATTTGTTTTGTTTACCCGTTTACTCGGCCAAAAATGTTTCGATCGTTACAATTTTTTTTTAATTGTAGGTAAATGTTTACTACACACCAAAAAAATTAAGTAAATTTACTCAATTTTTTGGATTTTTTTTTCTAAAAAAGGCAAAAAAATTGTGGTCAAAATTTTGACATTGCCACATTTTTTTCATTCGAAATTAATAATAATACGAACAGTCTCGTCCCAGCCCTCGAGCGAGTAAGTCGATGTAGCGGAGAGAGTAAACGTAAAACGTTAAAACCATAACCAACAAACAAGCCCTCTTAGTGCAAACAACTATAGTGTAACAATTACAGTGAGTACAGACTACTCTTCTGTCAATAATTAGTTAAGGGCCAAGTGAAAAGGAAAAGTGAAGTGACAAGTGCAAACGTACATAGTGAAACGGTCAAAGGAGTTAAGTGTGAAGCGACAAGTGTCAGTGCCTGAGCGGTCGCACCATCTGTCAACAGGACGTTTTTCACTGGTCAAACAAAAGAGGCCAAACAAGGGAGGAACAGGCCACCTGCAAATGATTGCTAAGTATTCTCAATTCATTCGCATGACCTAACACATAATTTGCAAATTAAACTAAACAAGGCACATTGCCTAATCCCTACAAAAAATCATCGGCAACAAATAAAATAAAAAAACAAAAAAATAAAATAAAATAAAAAGTCAATTTTCCAAGAAAAAACCAAACAGCCGATCGCGGACACACACCAAAGTTGAACAGGGCAATAAAGCTGTCAACAAAAAATTCAAGAATAACAAACCGAGACCAAATAAATTCGACACTTAAGACATAACACATAAACTAAGAAAACATAAACAAAGTAAAAAAAAGCATTCTAATCAATATCCATGGAATTTGTAAACACTTAGACCTAAAGCAAACAGACAAAAATACGCAAACTTGAACGGATGATCATTACACTACTAACGACAGACTTACCCGACTACCATCTACAACATCCCCGCGACCTGCTAATGGGAAAAACCATTACCAAAAGGGGAAGAGTAGCCCAATTAAATACTGGGCCCTAGTCACTCGTAGACAACGCAACAGCACACTACAAGCCACCCTTAAACTAGATCTTAAAGACAAAAAAGTCGGTAGACCATGCTTCACATCTCATGACACGTTAGCACAAAACATGCACTTCCCACAAATTTACAAGACCAGTTGGGAGCAACTAAGCAACAATAAAAATAAAATAAAAAAAACAACCGACACATTTTACCAAGTTCAGGAACTATCCGACACGGACAATGACAATAATGAACAAGACGAAGACCTCGACTAGGAAACTACACCCCTGCAGCGTAATAACAACTCCCCAACTCCAAATAGTAATCCCAAATGTTTGGAGTAATACTAACCGACTGGTCTAGGGGAATTCCGCGTCGTACTTAGTTTTAAGTCGGCGTAATTGTCCCCCAAAAACCAACTCCCTCCCGTCCCTCATCCATACCCCACTGAGCGTATAGCATAGGCTCGGCGAACCCGGGAACGGCTATTATAACTATTCGCCTCTCGCTCTCGAGCCCCAAATAGGGGACAGTACGGAACGCAATGGACATTCCCACCCAGCAAACACGGGTGAAGCCGTGCAGTTGTTGGGGAAGAAAAAAAATCGGCGTAAGTAAACATAGGCCTGTACGGGATTCGAGAGTCAAGAGGAAATGGGGCTGGTTATACGTCTCTTATACTCATATACTCATATACTCGAAATTAATAATACGAACAACTTTTTACCAAAAGTCCCGAGTTGGCTAAATTTGTCGTTTCGGAATTATCATTTTTTTAATGAAAATACCCTTTTCTACTAAATTCGTGGTTCATCGCAAAATTTTGGTATTTTATCTAGGGTCATGAAACTGGGGTGACCTTTATAAAGTGTAATTTAGAACTTTTTAACATATTTAACATATTTTTGTCACTTCCGGTTTCACCGGAAACGGTCTTTTTATTTTTTAATGAAACACCCTATGAATTTTTACATATTTTGATTCAAAATAAAATTCTGAATACATACATACGTCATTATTCAATTTTTGACAGGTCAAATTGTTTTTTAATTAAATTTTATTTCTATATCTAGTGCCTTTATGCGTTTATGTTTGGCCAATTTTAAAGTGAACCAAATAAAAATTTCAATGTTTTTTAATGAAAATGCAATTTTACAGTGAAGGAACTAAAAAGTTTATTGTTTTTTATAACAAAAAAGATTTCAAAATGTGTAAAATTAAAAGTGTTCTATCAAGCCAAAGTCATGCTGGCATGTCCTGGCAGTATACATCTCTGTTTTTTTCCACTTTTTTAAATTTCCACGCATGAGTTGATCTTATTCCCTTGATGGCTTTAACTTTGTTCCACTTGTTTTTTTTTCCTTTCGGAACTTTATTTCTGCATCTTGGATACATCGATATTTATCGATGACAAGTTATGCTTTGTAGCAAAGTGCTAAATCCATTTTTTCTCATGAGTGGAATTCTTCATTTCGTGAAACTGGAACCTGTTTTTGAAATGACCTGCGGCACCATCAGAGATAATAACTTCGCTCGTGATTTTCATATCCGGATACTTTGCTATAATGTCCTGTTCAATATAATTTATAGCAAACAATGCATGGGCTGAATCGTGCTCCGTGTCATTACTGATTAGTGCATAGCTTAAAATTCTCGAATTGAAGTATCAAACGGCAGTGAAAATTGAAACCTGATCATTTTTCCAGTGATGGCTTTGGATCTCGTTTTGTAAAATGACAGACCATTTCTCAGCGAAATCGATGTGAAGAATTAAATGTGATGAAATACATTTCGCCACTTCTTTCTCTTTGATAGCTGCTTGCTGAATTTGTTTGCACTTTAAATGTGGACTGGCTTTGAGTGTCCATTCAGCTAAAATTTCGACGAACTTTGCTAAAATCATGGTTTTTTTAACCAAGGCGTATTGGTTTTGCAATTATTTAACGATGACCTGAATGAGATAATCCACTGCTCGCACATCCTGCAATCAACTGCTATTTGAGTCGGTTTTTCCTGTGATAAGCAATTCGAGGAATCTTCTGAAGAAGTAATTTGATTTTCTGTTGATACCAAAAATTGTGTTGTTAACGTAACGTAACTATTATAGCAAATTTCTTCAGAAGAATGCAGCACATGATCAGTAAACACTGGTTGAAGCAAAGGGGCCAAGTCGCCAAGCCGATAGAATTTTTTTGCGGTGTTTCATAAATGGAAGGTTTATGACACTGTCGCTAATCCAGGCATTTTTTCCTTCTGGGAAATCGATTTATGCGGTGTAAGAGTGGTGAGGGAGGAGGATCTACAATCATATAATAGAAAATTATTATACAAGTAGCCTGTTTACAAAGTTACCTCGTAAAAAAAACATTTAACATTATAGAAACAGTTCTAAAATGTTCTGAAAAATAATATAATATTATTTATATCAAAATACTCGAATTATATTCTAAAAGTATTAGATTTTTTTAAATATTTTTAAGTCATAAATATTGTTAGAATCGTTTAATTGTAAGTTAATTATCTAGATTAAAATAACAGCCCACGCGAAACATTTAAATCTAAATATTATACTTCAAGAGTAAAATTAAATATTAATAAACTTAGTAATTACTCTAAAATCTTTAATAATTTAGTTTACTTAACCACGCTTCCCCACATTTATTTTAAATATTTGAAATAGTTTCAAAATAAATGTGGGAAAGCGTGGATAAGTAAATTAAATTATTAAAGAAAATGAAATGTAGTACACAAAAAATTCCGAAAAATTTTGGCCGGTTAACAAATATGAGTGAGGCAGTAATAAAACTCTTTTTGACTGAGGCTCTTTTAGGAAGGGAAATAAGTATTAAGCCTAAGAGGTCCAGAAACGAATGTGCAGGTTAATTATATTTAGAAATAACAAATTTTCATTTGATTTTATATTTCGGTTTTTTATTTATTGCCAGAGATTCCCTACAATGGCCACATTGGTATTGGGAGGTTAGATATAACTTTTTATATTCATTTCAAAATATTTGAATTATTTTATTTAGTAGTTTTTAAACCAAAAAATGTTGAGCAATTACTTACACCCCTTTGATTTGTGTTAAAGTATAGTTTCATAGTAAAATAAAATTTTATATTCACTTACCAGCAAAACAAACTAACGATCTGTCAAATTTGATACTTCACACAAAGGTTTCAAAGCCTTCTTAATTTATTAGTTCTGTACACAATTTAAAACCATATAAACATTCAAAGTTAATTAAGATTTTGAAAGCGATATTATTAAAAAATGCATTAATATGGTGTCAAATTTTAAAAAAGTGATTTTTTTTATGACCAACGACCACCCTCTTTTATTAAAAAAAATTGTTTTGGCAAAAAGTATGCTTTTTCAATTTTTGAAAGCTCCTAAAAACCAGCATTGCAAAAAAAGAATAAAATTGTATTTTTTCCAAACATGAAGCAGAAGAGCCAATTCAAGGCGCTCTGTATATAGAAATTTTATCAAAAAATTATTTGACCCGTTAAAAATGGACAAATGACATATGGGCCATTCCACGCTTAACGGATAGGACAGCCGCCGTGTTTTTATTTACAAAATAATATTGTTCCACCATATTACCAATGTCAAATTTTTATAAATAGCTCTAAACAAAAGCTGTTTAACAAGGTTTTTATTTGGCAAAATTAGGTATCGTGATTGACTGTCCAATTCTTTAAAAATTAATAATTTAAAGCGTAACGGGCGGGACTATTGCAAAGTCCCGACTGTTACGCTTTAAATTATTAGTTTTTAAGGAATTGGACAGTCAATCACGATACCCAATTTTGCCAAATAAAAACCTTGTTAAACAGCTCCAGTTTAGAACCATTTATAAAAATTTGACATTGGCAATACAATAGAACAACATTATTTTGTAAATAAAAACACGGCAACTATCCCATCCGTCACGCGTGGAATGGCTCATATGTATGTATTCAGAATTTTGAATCGAAATATGTAAAAATTCATACGGTGTTTCTTTAAAAAATAAAAGTTTCCGGTGAAACCGGAAGTGACAAAAATATGTTAAATATGCCAAAAAGTTCTACATTCTACACTCCAGTTTCATGACCCTAGAAAAAATACCAAATTTTTGCGATGAACCACGAATTTAGTAGAATTTAGTAGAAAATGGCATTTTCATTAAAAAAATAATAATTCCGAAACGACGAATTTAGCCAACTCGGAACTTTTGGTAAAAAGTTGTTCGTATTATTAACTTCAAAAGAAAAAAATATGAAGCAACAAAAAACAATTTTTTTTGCCTTTTTTAGAAAAAAAATTGAGCGAATTAATTCGTAAATTAAATAATTTTTTTGGTAAGTAGTAAATATTTACCTACAATTTAAAAAGAAATTGTAACGATTGAAACATTTTTGGCTAAGTTATCGTTTATCAAGAAAAAATGTCACTCGTAAAAAGAGAAAAATCGATGTTTCTGTCCATTTTTCAAAAATTTCCTACGGGTCCCATCAATTTCGGTAGAGAAACTGTGAAACTATGAATGTATATTATTTTTCAGGATAACTATAAATTGTACCAAGAAGCAAAACCAAAGAAACTGAGAAAAAAGGTTAAACCTTCAGCTATGATTAGGCCACAGAAACGTAACAAAAAAAAGAGGCGACCTCTTAAACCATTGGATGTTTCCCCAACCAGTGCAATATTAAATGACACACCAGTGTGTGAAGGTACGTTTTTATTTCGCAATGCCGTTTAACTTAAGTTGATTCTAATTCTGTTTTTTTTATTTTCAGAAATAGAAGTAAGCGAAATAAATGAAATAACCGAAATAAATGAGATAACAGAAATGAATGAAATATCCGAAATGGAATTAGAGAGGGACGGATCTCCGGAGTTGATTGAAGAGGAACTACAAATGGTAGATCAAGTTTTAGGATTAAATGAATCGGACGGTTTGGAGCACGCTCTAGCTCAGCAGGCTCATTTGCTTGAAGAGACTGATATTAGTACCGTTTTAAGCACCATACAGGTCGACGAATTTAGCGACTTTTTCGCAGGTAAATTTTAGTAAGAACTAGTTGCATGATGAAGTTTGTTTGTCTTAATTAAGATCATTGTCTAATTTACCTTTTTAAAACTGCCATATTTACATAATATTATCAATAAAATACACAGTGTTGCTAAAAACTCTTAATTTAAAGGTTGCAACCTAGGTAATTATCATGATAATTACCTATCAGCATTTAAAATAAGGCAGGCATTCCATTTTTTTAAACTGACTTCTTTACGAACGGTAGGGCAAAATCATTTCATGCGACTTGCTCACAGTGGTTCTGAACGAGTCATAGGTCACATAAAAATGACGCCATAAACTGACTACAGTATTGGAATAAGGATGTCCTCTGAAGTTTAAAAATATGTTTTTCAAAATTGTAGCTTTGCCTAATAATCCAAATACCAAACGTTATTTGGTGATTCATTTTAGGTTTTTACTATTATCTTTAAAGGAGGCCTTTGGAAGAAATGTTTGAATAAGGAAATAAAGGTGACTTAATTATCTACACTGCGCGTCAAAATTAACGCATAATAAGTAAAAAAATTCTAACTCTAAAACGCCTTTACTAATCTTTATGAAATTTTGTATAAAAATACATCAACTTATATCTCAGTTTACGTGTTCGAGGGTTTTTCGAGAAAATATTTTTAAAGCCCTTTTATTTAATAATAAAAAAACGTTTGAAAAATAACTTTTAGGGAAATTTTTTTTAAGTAAATAAAAAACATGCTGTTAAAGACAAACAAACAGTAACGAAGATACAGTGCTTCAAAGTCGGTAAAAATGACCCCTTTTTGATTATTTTGCTGAAAAGTGGTCATTTTTGACAACTTTAAAGCGCTGTATTTTCGTTACTGTTCGTTTGATTTGTACAGCATATTTTTTATTTACTTAAAAAAATTCCCTATAAAAGGTTTTTTTTAGCGTTTTTTTTATTATTAAATAAAAGGGCTTTAAGGATATTTTCTCGAAAAACCCTTGAACACGTAAACTGAGATATAAGTTAAAGTATTTTTATCCAAAATTTTATAAAGATTGGTAAAGGTGTTTTAGAGTTATTTTTTTTTACTTAATATACGTTAATTTTGACGGGCAGGGTCTTAAACCATGCCTCCAGAATTATGCCTAAACAATTGGCCTACGAAATCCATGGACGTAGTCGTGAATTTTTTATGATTAACTGGGTATGTTACGTTTTTTTGTGAATAACCTGTCATAGGTTACTTTCAACATTGCAGCATCATTTTTCTTTAAAGAAATATAACCTATATAAAACATAAAAGACAAGTAAGTACTTGTCAAATATTATTTATTAATCAAGGTAATATTATCAACATGAGAAAAAGCATTAAATATTTTTTGATGTAAACTTTACAACTACTCTTTTACTTTCAACATTGCAGCATCATTTTTCTTTAAAGAAATATAACCTATATAAAACATAAAAGACAAGTAAGTACTTGTCAAATATTATTTATTAATCAAGGTAATATTATCAACATGAGAAAAAGCATTAAATATTTTTTGATGTAAACTTTACAACTGCTCTTTTAAACGACTCTTTGAAGTTAGGATGTGCCATGTTGTTTATATTGTATTTATTCCAAGTACTTTATAAACTCGCGGTGGACATTCTTCCAAGTGATTAATTAGTACATGAATTTTTAAAGTTTCAGATATATCAGCAGCTTTAAACCTAACTACTAATGTTTGTTTGTGAATTTTTATTTAGTCGAAATTTGGCGTTTTGGTGGAAAAATATTTTTCAACTAATTTATCCATAGTCTTAAATTGGGACACGTATGGTAAAATGACCAAAGGACTAATAGTTTGCAAAAAATCTTTTGTTAGAAGAGTATCAGGATGTTTCAGAAGCATTTAACATGCATTTCCCTCAAATATGTCACCTTGGTAGTTCTTAAAGACCAAATTCAGTGTTTTAGGCCATCTCAACGCCGGTTCTTTTTCGGTTTTACTAGTCCGTTCCAAAATACTTAGGCAAAAGTGTTGCCTGGAAAAGGTGATGGCTAACTAGATTTCTTTATTTACTCCTTGTTGGCAATTTAATGTAAGCAACTGATAGTAGCATTATTGCGTAAGTGAATACCTGAACATACATTACTTAGGTACACAATTTATTTAGGGGGGCTGCTTTTTTTAAATACATAGTTTTTTAATAGATAAACCATTTTCTGTTGTCCTTTTTGTGAAATACGGTTTCGGCGATTAATGTGCTAAAACATCAAGTTTTTAAACATTTTGTGATTAAAAAATATATCTACGCCAATGGTTGCGGTTGTTGAAGCATCAGTTAATAGATAATTTTGCTGTCTTTAATTCTTTATTTTATTTTTTTTTCTAAAGGGCTCAGTTTTAAAGAAATTCGAAAAAATCTTAAATAAGTCACTAAATTACAGTTGGTATTTGCATTAACTTGCAAAATTAATAAAAAGGATCACCTACAATTTTGAAAAACATGTTTTTAAACTCTAGAGAGGGTCCGATAGCGCATTCAGTTTTTGGCGTCATTTTTGTGTGACCTATGACTCATTCAGGACCCCTGTGTGCTATACATTAATGTAACGTTGCCGTGGCTCTGTAAAGCCTATGCCTAACGGTGCAACTTCTTGCGGTTTTTTTATGTTCACACGATGCAACAATTTAACTTGGCCTAAAATAAAGTCGCGGCGACTTTGTAACTTTTATAGGGATTTACGAATTTTCACTAAATATTTTGGTAGGTACTAGGGCTGTACAATTTAGCCGGTTAAGCTGGCTAAAAAAGTTAGCTAAGTTAATTAGTTAGCTAACTGATCAGCTTAGCTAATTTAGCCTGTTAACTAAATTAGCTTGTCTAATTAGCTGGCGGCTTAACCGGTTAATCTAGCTTAGCTCAGCTAATTAGCCGTTTACCTGGTTAGTCATTCCCGGATTTGCCGGGCCGTTGCTATACGCCTAGTAGGGTCATGCAGGAGGTAGGACTGGAGGGATACACATTTTGGACAATTACGCCGACTCAAATCTACGTAAGACGCGGTGTCCCCCTAGACCAGGCATTTAGTATTACTCCAAACATTTGGAATTACTGTTTAGAGTTGTTATTTTGTTGCAGGTGCCGATTTGCTAGTCGTTATTGTCTCCCGATTTTTTTGTCTAGAAGGACTAGATTTTGGGTGGCTTGTAGTATGTTGTTCCGGTTAAGCTTTTTTCATGTATCCGTTTGTCCGTTAGTCCGATCATCTGGGAGCGCTCTTATTGGTCCAATTATAATTAAAAAATTATGACATTTCATCAGTCCGTAAAATTTTAACTTCGTACGTCTGACGGAGAAAGTTAAAATAATTTTAATTCATCCGTCACTACACATCTTTTTTTAATGCCTTTAAGATAATTTATTTATAAGATTTTAATATTTTTTAAATTATTTATTTATTTATTTATTTATTTATTTATTGCTTAAACGGGAAAACCCCATTAATTATGATTGTAAAACGGAGTAATTACGTTCGTTATGTTATAATGTTCTATTGTTATGTCTTTATTTAATAAGAAGAACGAAAACAAAGAGAAGAGAAAAAATATTAAAACCAGAACTTAAAGGACATTTTAATGTATATTAAGGCTAGTATATAGTATATTATATAATTGTAACTATGCCAATTAAGCATTAGGTAAATTTAGTGAAGTGAATATACTTTCCCTTAATTTCTATTTGTCGCCAAATCAATCCGTTAAACGGATGCATGAAAATTAGAACATTTCTTGTCGGACCATTTTATTGGAAAACGGATAACGGACAAACGGATACATGAAAATTAAGCTTTAGGCAGTTACCGGTGGGGGGTATTTTTTGACTTTAAGTGTATATTCTAATGTGTTTACAAAATCCATTAGAATTCGGTTTATGCTTTTTTCTGTTTAGGTTTTCTTATATTTTAAGTTCGTTTGTCTATTTATTTTGGTCTCGTTTACTTTAAAGTTTATTTTGTTGAGGCCGTTCTTTTAAATTAATGCGTTTGTTGACAGATTTATGGTCCTACTCAGCTTTCCTATAAATGACCGTAGGATGGGGCGATTTTGTTTTTTTTGTTATTTGTCTTTTTTGTGTTTGCTTTCTATTGTCTTACTAATAACAAAAATTTATATGGCACTTCTACAGACATTTATTTATTTATTTTTATTTATTTAGTAGTCCATACTAGAGCCCTGCACGGGCCGAATTTTTCAGGCCCGGCCCGGTCAATAAATTATAAGACCCGGACCGATTCTATTTTATATAGACCGGCCAATAAATAACAATTTTTAGTCGTAATAAAGCTAAAAAAACGCTTTGTGATTTTTTAAGCTGTTTTATTTATGTAAATGTTAAGAAAAATTTTTAAATGTACATTACACTTTAGTTAATTAATAATTAATTATTTATAATAAATAAACTTAATAATAAAAAATTAACAAAAAAAAAATTTAAAGGTTGCTGTTTAAGAACAACAAAGCATTAACATTTTCAGATTTTAAAGATGTTCTGCTTTCTTCTACAAACCGACCTGCTGTACTACAATTTCTTTCACTGGACGCACTTGTTGCTGGTATACCTGCAATTAAAAATAGAACATTTGCATTATAGAAGTATAAAAAAATTGTTTTATTTTGCATTACCCAAGTATTTCTGTGCTAATTTTGAAAAAACTAGAAAAGATTCTGAATGGGTTTTCCACCAGGTAAGAATTCTTCCAAATCAATATAAGTCTCTGTTTTTATGTACAGTTCAACCTCATCCTCAGATTTTCTTGACGACGCTAGATCCAGATCATCATCTTCCCATTCCGAAAATGCGCTTTTTTTCTTGGTGGAACATAATCTTCTTGTTTATCTTGCGCGTCTTTAGGTTTTGTGTTTTGAGGGTATTCTTGTACTATTAATTTTATTTTTTTAATTACGTCGAGTCTTTCTGATTCGTCAAACATTTTTAGTTGTCTAAATTTTGGCCAAAGGAATGTAGCAAATTTATCTTCATCAGTGAATTTTTTTACTAAAAACTGCTTTGCCCTTTCTTAAGACATTCAAATTCATACTCTGTAGTTCTAAGATGTTTTAATATTTTATAGTAACATAAACTAACAAGATGAAAAGTTGGTTTTTGATCTCCTTCTAACATAGTCAGTGATCTTTTTTTGATGCCAGTATTTCTTGAATATGTTTAAACTGGCCATCTACCGATAATATCATTAGAACTTCTAATTTTAATTTAAAAGTCTTGTATTCCACATAGTTTCAACTTCCTGGTAAATTGATTTAGGTAATAAATTTATGTACCCACTTTGTTTCATAAACAATACTAAGCTTTTACAATTATCCATTGTAGTTTTAATTATAGTTAAATCCTCCTGGGTCAAAAAATTATTTTCAAATGTATTACGTAAAACAGTATTAATCAAATGTGCACTACAATTAAACCTTTGATATCGAGTTAAAGCAGACACAATATTAGCTCCTTGATCCGTCACAAAATTTAACTTTTTAAATAAGTTAATATCTAATCCAAAATTTAAAAATCCTTTTAATAATTCTCTCTGTATATTATCCCCAGTCTTTTTATCTTCACTAGGAAAATTACAAGTGAATATAACTTTTGAATTTAGTATCCAGTTATTGTCTATAAACTGTATAGTTAACGTTATATATGGAATTTTCTTATAATCGTCTCTCCACATGTCTGTAGTACTTGCACAGTTTTCCAGTTCCATAACTTCTGATATTTCTGGTATTATTTTTTGCTGAATACCTTCGGCAGTTTCAATCAAATGGAGAGAAATCTTGGTGGGATGTGATAAAATATTGTTAAGATTTACATTTCCTCTATGTAACAAACAATACACCTAAATCAGTCATAGTGGAGACTCTTTCCAGTTCATTATTATTAATAAAGTAATTACAATTCCAAGTAGGAATACTTTTAGAAAAAGAAATCACCTTACATTTACTTATATTTAGAGGTGTAAAAAACGGTTTTTTTCAGATGTGAAAAAAAAACATGAAAAAAAACCTAGAAAAACATAGTGTATTTTATAGTAAAGTAACTTTGAAGGCGAAATTTAAAATCAGTCAGATTTGAAATAAAGTCACAAATGATATTGGCGGTCATGTATGCTGACTTATTGTTGGTCATTTATTAAAGTGACGCCCAACTCCTTTTTTTTCCTTTGATTACAACCTATTTTACAACACAATTGGTATTTACTTTAAATTATACCAAAAATACAACCCTGCCTAAAATTCATATTTAATTTTTTTTAATCCTTTTTTCAGTTACGAGTTATGCTTACGTACTAACAGAAAATATTTGGTTTTTTGATTTATAAAACTTTGTCAATAGCTGAATTTATCCAAAAATTTAAATGATTTTTTTTAATATAGTTTAAATGTTTTTTTATATTCTTAAGTTTAAGTAAAATATTTCTTTAATTAAATTATAAAAAAATAGAGAATATATTTTTTTGACCTTTGAAATCCATGTACAAGACTATCCAGTCCTGTTCACTTTCCTTAAACGTTGTCTGTTTGTTATTTTCAGTAAACCGAAACGGTGACTACGAACCGTCGCGAGAGGAGGCGGAAGAACTGGAGAAGGCCCTGGCAGCTGTCGATAACGACGTAAAATCGCTGGAGAAACTGAGCCAGTCTCAGGGCATCTTGGATTCGCTGATGGACGAGCACGTGCTCACCGAGTCCCTTATCCAAATACCCGAAATGTTTCACAACGGCTACACGCCCTGCGGCGACAACATGGTAGCACAAACCTCCACATACCTCTTGCCCGTCGAGCCTCATTCTAACTCTTAATCGTAAAACCCTGCCCCACCCTCCAGAACAGCCACCAACAACCAACCAACACAAGCAGAGATCCACCTTAACAGTACAATATTTAATTTATCATGAAGGTAACTGGCTTACAATGCGTTTATCAGGATTACATTTTTAGATGCTTTTCTACCAAAACAGTTTTTTTGTCATTTTAAGAGGAAAAAAATTGGTCAATTTGATTTTAATAATACTACTTAACAAAAAACTAAAACAACTTATTAAATTTGACTTTGATTGTGATGATTTTTTTTGCACATTGCTTACAAGACTTATAATAAATTTGATTTTATAATAGGGGATTCAAAAGTGTTGTTTTTGCCATCCATTTCTGTTTATACAATTTTAATTATTTTATCTTTTTCCAGCCACATCCTTTCTTAAAATTTTCTTGATTATTTTTTTATTATAATAGAAAACACGCTTTTGAAGAGTTCTTTAAAAAATCTAAAACATTACGGATTGATAATATAATAACAAACAGTATATTATATAAGGGTGTCTGTTATTTCCTGAATTGTTTTTTTTTACTTTTGTATCATCTATCATTATTTGTTTACAGTCTAAAAACAATTCAAAAAAAAATGTTGATGTCATTTAACCATGCATAAATCATTTATGGTAAATGACATTTTAATGACAAGAAAATATTCATGACTCGCTAATTAATAGACATGTAAGAATATAGAAGACATATTTTGGTGGGAAATTTTACGCTTTACAAAAAAGGTATTTTAAGATTTTTTCGTAAAACCATCCATTTAAACAAAATATAATTTTTTTCTGAATTTCAAAAGTTGGCTTTAATTTGTCTTTTTTAATTTGGGTATCATCTAAATTGATTGTTTACAGTTTAAAAACAATTTTGAAAAAAATAAATATTTTTTCTGATGCCCAAATGATGATACCCACCTACTAATAATTTTAATTTTCATTGTTTTTTAACATAATAAATGGACATTGACAGTACATACGACAAATTTTTATAGAAAATTTTACGCTCTAAAAAAGAGGTCCTTTGCGTTTTTCGTAAAACCATCCATTGAAATGGTATAAAATATATAAAATAATTAAAAATTAAAAGTATCATTTAGGCAGGGTTAAATGACATTAAAAAAATATATATATATTTTTTTCAAAATTATTTTTAGACTAAAATAATAATTTAGTTGATACCCAAGTAAAAAAGATTTATTTCAAATCATTTAAACTGATAATTTACGAAAAAATCATATACATGTAGAGTATAAAATTTCTTAAAAAAATATCTTTTATATATTGTTGCATGTCTAGTTATTAGTAAGTTATGAATTTTTTTTATGTCATGAACATGTCATTTAGGAAGTGTTAAACGACATCGAAAAAAAAATATTTGTTTCAAAATTGTTTTAGACTAAACAATTAATTTAAATATTACCCAAAAAAAAATTGGGAAATAACGGAAACCCTAGTATACATTCACATGCTAAAATAATTGTATTTCAATTGGTTTCTTGCCAATCTTCAATAAGAACATACCTGGAATATTTTCCGGGTTTTTTTTGTAAATATGCTCTAAATATAAACTTTTAAGTAAGAAAAGAAAAATATTTAACAAGACGCAAGATTAGTGTTTATTTTATTTGTTTTTTAACTTCATAGAATGTTTTTCATTTTTGTTAAGAATGTTAATTGCATAATTATGTATTTCCATTTGGAATAGAGATATTGAAATTAATTTTAAAAAATAAACAAAATTTATTCACAAAGTGTTCAGAAATGTATGACAAAAGAAGCAATTTTTATATGGTTGTGTATATTATCAAATTTATTTAAACTCTTGTAAACTTAAAAAGCAGAAAATGACCAAGATGAAAGATTTTACAATATGAAAAAAAAAGTTACAATTAATTCAAAATTTAACTTTAACAAAATTATTGTTTCTTGTCCAGGAATGTTAGGTAAGTAATTCAAATTTCTGAGTAAAATCTCTTACTCCAAAATGCGATGTTTGGGGCCGTTCACATATTACGTCACACGATTTTTGAATTTCCCCTTCCTAGTTTTCACATAAAGTCACAAATTCAAATTTTTTTATACAATCTGCGCGAAAATTTTTAAATGATTTTTGTAAAAGTCTAACGTGAAGTCGCGTAGTTAATGACCACCTAGAGAATGACGAAATATGTAAACGGCCCCATTGAAATTATATAAAAACAAGAAAGTGTGTTGGCGTAAAAAAAAATTAGCCCCATACAAGAAGCAAATAATATTCAAGATAATCATTTACTTTTTATGGAGACAAAAAATAGGTAGAAAGGTAAAATAAAACAATTATTGATGGTTTGTAATATTCTTATATCTAATAAAAAAATCTGACCAAAAAGTATATATTTGTATATTAATTATTAATTAATGTATAAATATATGGGGCATTCCACGCCAAATCGGATGGTTTAAAAAAAAAATTTTTTTGATTCATCCAATTTTTTTATAATTTTTAGTACTCCTTGAAAGAACTTTCTCAGTAAATTTTGAGATTTTTTTGATCACAGGTTCAAAAGATATTTTTAAAAAACTGCTTTTTTTTGTTTTTCGCTCATAACTTCTTAAAAAATGGTCCAAATCAAAATGTTCATTCTATATAAAATTTTCGTTTTTAAATGTACTTTTCGATAAAAAACATATTGAAAATATTTGAAGCGTATTAAGTTAAGATTTTGGAGTTTTAAAGTTTAAATCGTGTTTTTAAAAATGTGTCTTCTTCGATTTTCGCGAAAATTTTTTATTTTCAACTTCTATCTATTCAACAACTATTTAGCCTGGTCCGGTAACTTTTAGAGATTTTTTTTTTAATTTTGAAAAATCGAAAAAAATAGTTATTATGGAAGGCCCACTACCTACTAAGTTATGAGCGAAAAACAAAAAAAAAGCAGTTTTTTTTGAAAATTAGAACCCTTGATCAAGAAAATCTCAAAATTTACAAAATATAAAAAAAAATGAGGAATCAAAAAAAATATTGTTTAAACCATCAGATTTGGCGTGGAATGCCCCATATACTTTTAAGGCAGATTTTTTTATTAGAATTATCACAATTACATTTTATTTTTAATAAATAATTTTAAAAATGATTTTATTAGGCTGCACCAAGTATCCTATGTGTATATTTCTATGGGTATTTTTGCATTTGAAGAGCTACAATGTCGGATGCGTTATGACAAGCCTATTAGCATGAAATTTATTAATTGAAAAAAATGCCAAATCCAAAAATTGTTATAACTTTGTTATTCCTGGGAATTTTTAAACAAAGTAAGTTTTACCTGTACACTATGTTTTGGTTTACCATCACCATCTTTTGTTTTTATAATGGCCGCCATAACTTTCTAGCTTAATACATCATTGGATTCCTTGATTTCTAACCATGTACAATTTTAATATGGCGGCCATAGGGAAAACAACAGATGGTGGTGGAATCTCAAAATCCAATATGGAATCTCAAAATCCAGTAGGTGAAAAATATCACAAATTGGATGAAAATGTAGATAAATGTGTATGTTTACTTGTAAAACTTACTTGTTTTCAAAATTCCCGGAAATGTTTGCTTTTGACAGGTTTTCCGTTTTTTTCAAATTATTTGAGAACCTCTGATTTTTTTCCAATTTTTAAATGCCATCTTAATAGACACAACTTTTGTCTAATTTAACCAATCTTGTAGCTCTTCTAATAAAAAAATATAACCATACCCATACATAGGATACTTGGTGAACCCTGTATACCAGGATATAAAAACCCGTTGGTCAGACCATTGTTGAAAATACCTATATAGCCTTTTCTTACATCTAGTATAAAAGAAAAATATCTTATTTTTTTTTCAAACTGATTACAATCTTGTATGGTTAATTTTTTTAATGCTTAGTACTACACTGCATTTATTGCACAAATATAAATCATTTTCTACTTAAAATGACTAAACTTTAACAAACTATATGAATGACTTTAAATTCACATTTAAATAAAATTGTAATAATCTATACTATACTATTTTCTAATAAAACAATACATCACTTATATTCTGGACTTAAAAGTGGTTATATAGTTTGTTTAAGCTTTAGGTATTGAACATTACATATGTACGAGCCCTAACCACATAATGTTCGGACACTTCATAATTTATACAGAAATTTTTTTCGTGAATACTATCTCAAAATTATTAGAAGTTATGAAAAATTCAGCTTATTTTGGCATATACCCCTCGAAGCGATTTTTATTTTTAAAAAGTTTACCTTTTATTTTTAGCTTTTAAAAAAAGGCTAACTTTTTAACTTTTTTTTGCATGAGTAAAAAAAGTTATAAATGGGCCCATTAAAAAGAACATAAAATATTATACAAACCCTGAAAATTTGGTAAAAATTGTATAAATAATAAGAAAGTTATAGCGATATATATATCTGCAAAATCTCCCGTTTCCTAAGAAAATTGCAAAAACTCTTTAAAAATAGCATTTTTAAATTACTTATACTTTTTTATAACTTATTTATTTTTTACCAAATTTTCAGGGTTTGTATAATATTTTATGCTCTTTTTAATGGGTCCATTTATAACTTTTTTTACTCATACAAAAAAAAGTTAAAAAGTTAGCCTTTTTTTAAAAGCTAAAAATAAAAGGTAAACTTTTTAAAAATAAAAATCGCTTCGAGGGGTATATGCCAAAATAAGCTGAATTTTTCATAACTTCTAATAATTTTGAGATAGTATTCACGAAAAAAATTTCTGTATAAATTATGAAGTGTCCGAACATTATGTGGTTAGGGCTCGTATATTTAAAACTGAAAAGTCAACATTTGGTATTAGAATTTTAATTTTCCAATTTTTAAGGGAATTGCCAAAATTGAAGTTACCCAATTCCTTATCTATTATAATTTACTTTATGAATAAGTACATAAATATTGTAAACGTCTTTTGTAATTTTGTTGAATAACATCACATAGTTAAAATAGTACAAGTAAATAATTTTATTAATTAATAGTCTGACACTGTAGATGCTTATTAAATAAGATAAATCAATATTAGTTTAGCAACAAAATCAAATGCTTTATCTACCAAAGATAATAAAATTCTTTTAGTTTTTAACATTCCTGTTTTTATATTAAAAAAACTACTACTATATTGTAATTTATAGCAATAATTGGGCAACGAAAATTGGGAAATTATTTAATAAGGCTTATTTACATTCCTTTAATTTTGCAAAAATAATAATAACAACAGAAAATGGGAATACAATTTAAACAAATCCAAAGTTAAATAATCTACAATAATATGTATTGAATTAAAATTAAAATTATTTTATTTATTTTTTTATTTACAAATCATTGTCACATTAAACACTTTGGTTATTAACGAAAAATTAAAATTATTGTTTTGCTTTATGTAGTTTATCATATGTAAATAAAATGATAAAAATTATTAATTTAAATAATAATATATCATAATATTGAATTTCTACTAACAGCTGAATACTAGGCATTTCCAACTATAAATTATTTTTGCAATTTTTTATGTAAACTCTATTTATTTAGCATAGTGTTAGTTTTTAATTTATAGTTGAAGACTGAATAGTATTTTAATAGGTGTAAATACTATTTTAAGTTATATTTAATAAACACAGTGAGAGTATAAACATTGGTGTGCCAGTTACTTTCTAAACTTAAAAAACGGTTCATAAAATTGTAATAGTTTTTTTACTAATTAAATAATAAAGAAATGGATAGACGTTTTCCATGTATGGAACATATTTTCCTAGATAATTGTATTTAGTGTATGTATTTCATATTTTAGGGTAACACAATGCTGAAATTGTTTTTTTCCAAAACAAGTGTTATTTATTTTTTATTTATTACTATTACCGTGTCTACAATTTGGTGTATATTTGTCTATATTATTTTTTACGATATTTATAATTGTAATATCACCAATGATACAAAAATAAATCAAAATGGTTAAATTAACTTATGTTTCTTGTATTTTCTTTTTGGTTCCTTAAGTGTTATTTTTAAACACAGTGATTTATATTTTTAATTATTTTATACAAAAATTTTGGTATTAAATTTTTATTTTTTAATTGACTATTGACGACTATTTTTTTGACCTCTAAAATCTACAATACATATCAAACCAAACCTTTAATTTCTAAACAATTTCTTATATTAACATTTTATCTTT